TTCTTTTTTTTCTTTTTTTCTTTCTTTTTTCGGGGGGAAGGAGAGGGTGGAGGGACTGGGAGTGGGGCTGTTAATTTTGAACCCTGTGTGGTGACCAGGGACTTCCAGACCCTGTGGCAGTTTATTATTTTCCTCCTTCAAATGTTTTTCTTTCCTTGTTTTTGTTTAGTTCTTTGTTTGTTTGTTTTGTCATTTTGTTTCCTTCTCTCTCCCTTGTTTTCCTTTTAAGCAACCAAACTGTGTAAGAGGGTTTTGGGAACTAGCTGTAAATAGGTCGCTGAGAAAGGCAAAACTTGTGCTGGTTTTTAATTGTTCTGTATTTCTGTGTTTTAATAGAAGCCTCAAACCATGTTTAAGAAAAAAAAAAAAAAAGAAAAAGAAAAAAAAATGCTAAAGGCAACAGTGTACAAGGATTGAAAGCTTTCCTTGGTGGGCCAGGAGGATCCTCCAGGGTGTGCAGGGCATTGGGAGATCCCATTGTAGAGCGACTCTTTGTGTTGGAATGGTTTGCTCGTGCAGGGCGTTCGGCTCCATGCTGATCTCAGGCCCCTGTGGAGGCTGTACTGAGCACGAGAACACAGCCAGTGGCTGAGGACCATTGGGCAGGTCAGAGCTGTGGCCTCGGCCACTGGAACGGTGCTCATTTGGCCAGGCAGGGCTGCAGCTCCTTAGGATACAGCTGTCACTGCTGCTTTGGCTGTGAAAGGGAGGATGCCAGCCAGCTGACACAGGCAGCAATGATCCAGGCTCTGCTGGTAATCACATGCTGGGGCTGAAGGTCTCCATCAGTCGTGTTGTCTCTGGGCCTTTCCTTTCCCTTCATGCAGGATGGTGTGTAGGGATGGAGGGACTCCGAGCTGAGCTGGATCTTTCATTCTTGTGCTTCCAGGAGAGGCTAGCTGGGAATCCCGCTCTTTTGCAGCCTTCCTACACCAGTCCTTTACCACCCATCACCCACCAGGACCATGCCACATCCCCTCTCCCTCTGCTGTCAGTTGGTCTCCCAGGTCTTCCTTTCTCACACTGCCCTCCTCCAGGCTTTCACAAGGGTCTCCTGCTCCTCCTTGCCCTGAGCTCTGTGCAGCAGCCCTGTCCTACTGCACTGGGAGGCACTGCTGTTGAAGATCATGGAATGGCTCAGGTTGGAGGGGAGCTCAAAGCCCACCCAGTGCCACCCCTGGCTACGAGCAGGGCTGCCCCCCACCAGCTCAGGCTGCCCAGAGCCCCATCCCACCTGGCCTTGAGTGCCTGCAGGGTGCTCCCCCTGCGTGCACTACTGCATTTCTGACTCAGAGTTGTGTTGTGCGATGCCAGCTGTGTGCCATGAGCTGCCCACAGGTTGCCCTAAGTTTCTGATAGAAGAGGCTGAGGTTCTTATTCCCAGGCTGGTGGAAGCTGTTTGAACAACTCAGGCTTTTCTGGATGTGCTTCACCCTCCCCATCCTCCATTTTGTAAGGTCTTCCTGCACGCAGCACTGGTGTTCTTTCCTGTGTTTGTCCACTGAAGGGGCTGTAGGATTAAGCATGTGCCCTTCTGCACTCATAGGGTCTCTGGATCTCTGCAGGACCCCATTCCAGCATGGTGTACCCCATGGGTATCCCACTGTGAACTCAGGGCATTTGATTGCCACATGAACACCAGTTGGAGGATTATCTCTGCAAAGCCAGACTTTGCTTACTACCTCTCTTGTAGCAGCACTCACTTTTCCCTGTTAGATACCACAGAAGGAAAGGGAGATTGTCAAGTGGGGAGGGAATGGCAGAGCTTTTTGTTATCTTGTAAGCTGCTAGAAAAAGCTGTTGGATGCTGAAATGTCAACCTAGTGGCTGTGTTGATCAGATCTGTAACGAGATGAAGCCACATGATCTAACCTAATGAGGAATACCTTGAGCCAATGGGATATTTTGTAGAGAGCAGTACGAGGTTGGAAGTGCAGCTCTGGATTTGAGAAAGGACTTCACTCTGCTCTCGTGCTTTGTGGTGTTTGCAATCTGATTGAGCATCGTTTTCAAAGGAACAAAGTGCTCATCCCTGCCTTGGCATCTACAGCAAAGAGGAATAGTCTTTAACCCAGGGCTAAGTCAGCGTGCTTTGGACCTGATGTAGCTGTTTGAGTTCCCCATCCTTTCAGAGTGTGCATTTCACATGGGAGGATGTGGCTTGAACGTATGCAGCTTTTTCTCAACTTGAGTGGCCCGAATGGCTGTGGCTTCTCTTGGCTGCACCTCGGGGCGTTGGCTGCCAGTATTTGCTTGTAGACATCCAAATACCACTGCCAGCCCCCTGCCCTGCTCATCACCCACCAGCTAGTCTCAGTTAATTTTAAGCCATACTATTTTCTATACAAGGAAAGTTTTTTGTTGGTCTGTTCTGTTGGCCCCGTTGAGATCTCTGCCTGCCGGTACGTTCCCTGCAGACCCTGGGCAGCCTGACAGCAGGAGGGAGACCTGTCCTCCAGTGATAAATAACTAAGAAGTAAAGCCTTTCAACTCAGCAGGCCTGTATACAAAAGGGAAATCCTGGCATTATTTCAGAGCTGCGGACTTGCAGAGCAGCAGTCGGGGCTCTTCTGCAAAATCGTGCTGCCCTAAAGCCAGCCAGCCAGCCCTACCCTGACTGCTGTGATGGGTGAACTGTGGGGAGAGGAGGTGCTGTGGAGCACCTCTGCCTGGACATTGCTCCCAGCTGTGCCCAGGAGCAGCACTAACCCTATCAGGCTGGGGCGGATTGCCTTCAGCTGGTTGCCCGCTGCTGTGAGCTGTGTCTGTTCTCATGTCTCGTAGTTTTTTGCTCAGCATCTCAGCTTGAGTTCTGTGTACTGACTCCACCTAATCACAGTAAAAGGTTTGCCCATGTTTTAACCATGACGTTGCAATGTTTTTTCAGCTCCAAAAAGTAATCATTGGGAAAGAGCATCTTTCAGTCGAATAATCAAGCACCTGGAATTAGCTTTCACATTGAGGTAATGGTGACTGACCTGTTCTCTATCATCCCATGGAGAAACTTCCCCAGTCATTTTGTACCATTATATAAATATATATATAAATATAAATATATAAATACAATATGTGAAGACATCTTATTGGTTTTTATTTGAAACAATTTTTAGGCTTGTTTTTGGGTATCTGTGCTGCCTGTAATGTATTGACCTGTTTTATAGGTGCCTTTTTATTAAAAAGACAAATTTCAAAACCTGACCTCGTGCCTCTCGTCCGTGGTCTGTGTGATGTCCTGCAGGGTTGTTCACCGCAGCTGCAGCTTCTGGGAAATTCTGCTCTCAGCACTCAGCCAGGTGGTGCTTCCATAGTCTGCATGGAGTGGGTGGCCCGACCAGGCAGCTCCGTGTGGTTCCTTGTCCTAAGGAGGATTTTGCTGTCTCAGGATTTTGCTGTGCTGTTGTTCTGTCCCCTCCTCTGCTGTGCCAGCCCATCCTGTAGCCCGTGGGTGTCCAACCTTTTGGCTTCCCTGGGCTGCATGTACATAAGTCGCTCTGAAAGTAATGCCTCCTATATATTTTTATTAAACTACAGTTGATACAGTGAGTACAGTAACTCTGCTTGACAGAGCAAATGCTCAGCTACAACATGCTATTTTTTCAACATAAGTCCCTACCATGAGCTATGCATTCTGTTTGGTCTCCAGAAACATTTACCAAGCATCAGTGGATATCAGTGGGTGCCATTTTTTCTGTGTGGAGGAATTCAGTGACAAACCTTTGCTTCATCTGCACTTCCATGTCAGACACCATTGTGTCAGACTGCCCCTCTGCTGCCATCTGTCACACAGCAACAACATGGGATGGATATTGGTGGGAAGGTTCCACCTCTACTGCTGTACCACCAGCATCTGCCTCTGATGTGGTGGGCTGACATCATAAAACAGGAGGCATTACTTTCAGAACAGCCCTTGTAAAATACAGGATGTAGTCAATGCATGTAAGTAACAAAACTTATTTTAATCTTTAATGTTTTTATTAAAATGGTAAAAAGAGCAACAAAGCCATCGAACTGGTGGGATCTGTGACCGTGCTGTGAGGCTGAGGCATCACTGTGGTTTGGTGGCAGTGGTCTCACAGTGCTGGTCAGAGATTTTCGATGAAATATTACTCTTCTTTCTGTGCCTCATCCCTGAACGTGGTCGCTCACAAACGTCTGTGCTGCCACAGCCCCACGGCCTGGTCTCAGCCCACAGCGGAGCAGCGTGGGGCAGAGCTGCCACCGTGATGCGGGGCTGTGGGTCGGACATGGCTGCTCTCGCCTCTGTGGCTTGAAGCAGTTCTTCTTCAACTGCTGTCAGTGAGAAACAGCCTCATTTCCCTGCGTTCCCTGCTGCTGCAGATCCTGTCCCAGCGCTGTTTGAGCACACCTGCTCCCAGCCACCCCTCCTGGGCAGCGGTGGGTGACGGAGCGGGGCCCAGCTGCAAGCGCTGGGGGATCGGGGTGAGGACGCAGGTCCTCTTCTTGATAAGGAAAATGAAACCCTGCGTGAGTCACAGCGAGCTGCACGAGGGCGTGTGGGGAGCCCCGGTTCTGCAGCACTCCCAGGCACACGTTCATTCATGCATTCACTGGCTCGCGCTTTGTGCACGCTCTGCTGCCTTCACGGCCCCACGGCCCCGTGTGGGGCAGGGTGCTCTGCTAAAACACCCCTGTGACGTCCCCTGGGCCTCACGGGGAGTAGGAAGCAGCGTGCTGCTGCAGGAGATGCTCTGCAGGGCTGGGCTGCGCCCTGGAGGATTGTTCATGCTGTGAATGCCTCACATTTCAGGAGTTTCCTTGCCATGTCAGAATCTGCAAGCAGCTCATTCAAAACCTCTGCCTGAGCTGGGACAGTCTGACGTGACCCACTCTGTGATGACTGATGTCTGCAGAGTGACTCTGGATATGGTGAGGATATGGTGATTTAGACACAAAAATCCCTCCTGCGGTGGCAAAACTGGTATTGTGCCAGCTAAGCATAAGCAGTGAGGTGAGTAGAACAGCAGATCTTACCGTGTTCCAGGGGTTGGGGTCATTCTCGTATGACGGTGTGTGTGTGACTGTCATTAAGTGGAGGCCAAAGCAATGCTTGGCTAATGAGAAAAACGTAAGGAAGCAACACTGTGTACCTGCTGACACGTTACTCTGACAAGGCTTAGTAGGAAGCAGCAAGCTGCACAAGTCTGTTGGGGCTGCCCTGCGTGCCAGCTCACAGTGCCATCATTAACGATGGTACAAAGCTACCACTCTTGTTTTGAACCAGCTTGTGATTGAGGAGCCCTGATGCTGCTGGATGCCCATGGTGCAGGGCAAGATCAGCACTCAGGATTGTTCTATGTGAACCTGGATATTGGATGCACCCCATCTCCAAAGGCCCTGTGTGTGCAGGTGGAGCAAGGATATCTGAAAGCACAGTTCTAAGCAAAACGCAGTGCTGCCTCTCAGCCCACTGAAAACAAACTGAAATGATGCAAATTAGGTCTTCTTCTATGTTTTACCATACTGTGGGGCAGAATGCACAAAGCGATGTACAGTGAGCTGCAAAAGGAAAAGGGGGGAAAAAAAAAATAAAAGGTTACACCTTCAGCCTCACAAAGATGTGTGGTTCATTTTCTCCGTGCTCAGTCACAAGACTGAGCCATCTGTTCAGACAGTCATCTTCTTTAAAAGACAGCTTTTGTATACTCAGGCATTTGCTTCAGCAAGTCGCTCGCTGTAGCTGTGAACAAATCAAGTGAACGGGGAAGGATGTGGCTGATGTCAGGACAGGAATCTGCAGCAGTCAAACCCGAGTCCAAGGCCTCCTGGGGTGAGCTGTGCTGGGAAAAGCAATGTGCTGTGATGGGATGGCAGGACGTCATGCAGCAGGAGGAGCAATATTCCATCCACAGACCGCGTGGCCTTTGTCACTGGGATGAGCTCTGGCTACCCTGATGTTCTTACCTGCATCTCTTGCTCTAGCTACCACGGCAATTGTCCCCCATTGCTTCCTTTGGGCATGTCTTCAGTGACGTGAGCAGGTGAGATGGGAACCTGCTTTGTCCTTTCCTCAGCCCTCACTCACTGAAACAGCTCCACTTCCATTTGGCTGTGCCTCCCACCCCCCTCCCCCCGCCCTGTGACTCAGCCTTGCATCTGGCTCTGTGCACAGGACTCCTGCAGTCAGTTTGGTGATGGAGATGTGGTAACAACAGGTTCAACCTGCTTGTTTCCTCCATCCCTGCCAGAGTGACAATCGGACAGTCGGCATTTGCCAACAGCTGCCAGACAGATTTTGGTATGTATGTGAACCAGAAGGAACCACAGAAGCGAGGCGGTGGGATTTGGGTGTTAGGTGGCTATCAGACCTTGGTTTCCCGAGGAATGAAGAGAGTGGTGGGGACACTTGTGAAACTTAGGAGTGGGACACAGCACATATGCTACTGGGCAGGCCATTTCTGTCCTGCAGCAACCTTTCTGAGTTAGAAAGTGGAGATGGAGGTGGTGTTGTCAGACTCGATTCCGCAGCCCTTCCTTGTCACCTCTAGGATCTCTTGTAGGGTCTCCTGGCTTATGCAGCCCAGCTCGTGCAGGATACGGAAGAAATCATTGCGGAACTTGACCCCTATAAAGGCATAAATGATGGGGTTGAGGCAGCAGTGCGTGAAGCCGATGGCCTCTGTCACCATGATGGCAGTGTCCAGCTGATCTTCTAGCAGGCAGTTCTTGGTGAAGGCTTCTAGCTTGGTAAGGGTGTTCAGAAAGATGACGATGTGGTACGGGCTCCAGCAGAGCAGGAACACGCCGGTGACCAGGATGGCTATGCGGACAGCCTTCTGCCTTTGCAGGCGTTGGGAGTGACACAGAGTGCGGACGATGGCCATGTAGCAGTAACACATGACCAGCAGGGGCAGGAAGAAACCCACGCTGTGGTACAGGAAGCGAGTTGCCAGCCACACGTTGTTGCCGTGAATCCCAGCCTCTGGAAAATAGCAGATGCTGCGGTTGCTCTCATCTGTCCAGACTTCCATGAAGATGAGGTCGGGTAAGGTCAGGAGCAGGGAGGAGAGCCAGATGGCCGTGCAGGTGAGGTGGATGGAGCGAGCTCTGCGCTTGCGGTAGGTGTGGATCGCGTACACGATGGCCAGGTAGCGGTCCACCGCGATGCAGCCCAGCAGCATGCTACTGCAGTAGAAATTGATCTTGTGGACGGCACTGAGGACCTTGCAGAGGAAAGTCCCAAATACCCACCCAGCCAGGCTTTCAACCACGCTGAACGGGAAGGTGAGCAGCAGTGCCAGGTTGGCCAGGGTGAGGTGGAAGAGGAAGTTTTCAGTGGTTGTTCGAGACCGTTTGAACCTCTCCAAAATGACCAGGACCAGGGCGTTGCCCACAGTTCCCAACACGAACATAAGCAGATAGGCGAGCGGTATGAAGACCTTCCTGAAGGGGTCTGTCTGGTTGCCAACCACAGATGAGGCCGGATTGAAGCAAAAGTAGCCTTCCAAAGAAGGAGTGGTGTTCTCAGCCTCGAAGTAACCGCTCAGCTCCACCTGGCTCTGCGGAACAGAGAGTCTGGTTACAGGAGGGCAGTTTCTGAACAGAAGAACCCAATCACCAAAATCTCCCACTGTGAGGGGCTGCACGCTCCCTGATCATCAGCTAGCACACCTGGGGATATTCTGGCTTCCAGTCAGAGAACCACTTTCAACTTCTGTTTTTTGCTGAGCTATTCGCTGGAGACTTGACTTGCTGGAGATTTGATTTTTTACAACACACAGAACTCTTCTTTGACTTTTTTTCCCACCTACTTGTAGCACAGCCTGCCCTGCCTGCTGACAGGTACAAAATGACTGGAGGAGTGAATGCATCAGAGGCACTGGGATGCCACAGCTACGGGGATGATTCCAGGCAGGGAAATCTGCTCTGCTGGTGAACCCTGTGGTTCTGAATTAATTGCAGTCAAAGCCAGAAAGGGAATCTGAAAACACCGCTCAGACTTTGGGCTGACAGCCGGTAAGGAAAGCGTGGCAGAGCTGCTGCAGATGGTGAGCGTGCTCTGTCCTCAGGCACTTGGCAGAAACTTGCTGCTAACCAAAGCAAAGGGCTCAGATGTACACTCAGCACGCGAGGCTTGTGGCAAGCTCAGCCATCACTGACAAAACGGGAAGAGCTCCACAATAGTTGTTTTGCACTCCCCCACCCACAGCCTCTCTGGAGACCAGCCCTGAGACTTCAGCATCAACCACAGAGGAAGTCTTTGCTTGCTGCTTTCATACCTTTCACTGCCAGCTGTGGCTGTTTGCACCTGCTGCGCCTTCACTCGGCAGCCAAAGTTCCCATCTAAAAATATTAGCCCTGCTTTAGACAGCCTTAGAGCTAATCTGGGGGGATTTTTTGCCCTTTCCTCCTCTCCCTGCATGTGCTAAGTCAAGTGACTGCAAGTAACCTCAAGTCCTGCACCGTAACTCGTTAGAAAGGGTGATTGCGTTTATTCTCAGTTAAATCCTTCCCCGTGTGATGTGCTGGGTGCCTCTGCAAGCAACTTCTCAGGTAAGGAGCTGATGTGGCAGTGCTCAACTCAAACTGCTGCACTGCTGAAACCACGTGTGTGACTTCAAGGGGAGCCTGACGGTGTTGAAGAAGCCGAAGCCTACAGAGCATTACTGAATGTGTGCAAAAGGCTTGGATGGTCCTCAGGTAGTGGAAGGCAGCAGGGTAAGCAATTCCTTGGGGAAAATGTCAGATCATGGAATGGTTTGGGTTGGAAGAGACCCTCAAAGGCCGCCTGGTGCCTCCCTGCAGTGCACAGGGACACCCACAGCTCCAGCAGTGCTCACAGCCCCTCCAGCCTGACCTTGGCTGTCTGCAGGCATGGAGCATCTGCCACATCTCTGAGCAATTTGACACAATGACCAAACTGGGCTGCTCAGGGCTTGGGGTGATCATGCTGGAGAATCCCAAGGGGAACATGTTGGAATGGGCATAGCTTAACCGGAGAGAGGTTGAACAACTCCAGTTGTTAAAGGGAAAAATGAAATGATGGGCAGCGGATGGGTGTGCTGGCCAGAATGCTGGCACTGCAGGTGAGAGGTGTGTTTGTTGTTAAATGGCTTTGGCTGCAGAATGGTTTCCAGTGTCACCCTACAGTCAGAGCTGGAGGTGCGGAGGCCACTATCAGCCACCATCTGATTGCAGATAAGATGGCAGGTAGGGCTCTTACTGTAAGCCACTCGCTGCGGGCAGAGGAAGTGTGAGCAGAGCTGTATCTGAGGCATCCTCTCATGTGCATCTCCGAGCAACGAGTGTGGGTGGGAGCAGGCAGAGATGAGTTGAAGATGAACATGAAAGGATGAAATGTGTGTATCCAGGCTCAGATTGGAAGGGCAGATGACCAGAGCTGCAGGAGATGCACCGAATGCAACAAGCCAAGGCTTGTGCTGTGATTGCTGCTTTCAGACTGGAAGCATGTGGCCATCTGGCCTGGGAATAATCCACACGTGGGCACCTTTGCAAAGGTAGTAACAGCCAGAGCACTTTGTGTGCGTGCTCTGCTGGGGAAACACAAAAGTAAAGTGGGGCCTTTTCCTGAAACTAAGCAGTAAAACGCATGCCTGCATTTGTGGCACTGGGAGGCACGATCCCGTCACACTCTTTGTTCAGGGATCCCCTCTATCCCACACTGCAGAGTCACGCAGGCCTCCTCTGCACGTCAGCTGCTTTTCTCAGTTCTGCACAACTGCCAGCAGTCAAAACATTTGCCTGTAGAAGAGCAGCAGCAGTCTGTGTGCTATTAGGGATTTTCCAAGTGACTCATTCCCTTCTAGCCCATCCAGAGCCAGGAGAAGCATCTCGCATTCCCAAAGCCTTAAAACAGAAATTGCCCACATTGGTGTGCAGCTCTGCAAGCTACTGACAGCAATCCTGCTCCTCAGCTCTCTAGGGGCTGAAGGAGAGAAACACATACATAAGAGCCAGCACCACACTCCTGCCATGCTGACGCCTGTCTGCCTCTTGATAAGAATTGGCCTTCAGTACCGTGGAAGACCACATGGAGATCTCAGAGGTCCTTCTGCAGCATTTTTCTCTGCATAGTCTGCAGCTGAGGAAGGTTAAGCAGGCAAAGTTTTCTTGCTATGGAGAATTGGGGTCATAATTTTGCAAAGCTTGGTCAGGGCTCCTGCTGCACTTGCTGGGCAATACTGAGATAAATGCCCACTCAGTGTAAACATTCCAATTGTTTTCAGCCTGCATTTGTCCTGCTGGTCAGCTGCTCCTTTCCTGTTAGTGCAGGTTTGTGTCGCTGCTTTGTTAGAACAGCATGAGGCCTTTTTTGCAGATCTCTCTGGACACGCTGTTGATGCAATCACTGCATGTGGCAATGTGAGGCACCCCCAAACCACACGTGGCACTGCTCTGTGCGATCTACGGTCTGTTCCAGGGAGGAACGAACCCTGTTTGCCATGAATTTTTTATGCTGGATAAGTTAGAACAAATAAAAAGGATAGGGAAGGCTCCTTCCCACCCAGTTCTTCTCTTTTTTCCCCCATGTATAGGAAAGAGACAGCAAAATAGGTAAAAATTAAATCCCGCATTTCTCTCTGAGACAGAAAATAAACAAAAACTGAGGTCTGCTGCACAGAGTCACTATATGAAAACAGAAATTCTGAGTTGCAATGTTACAGAACCTGGCTAATGATAGCACTGCTGTGGACTTCCCCTCAGACAGCACAACGTGCTCTAAAAGGTACAGCTGCTGTCTTTGACCTGCAACCTTAGCACAGAGAACTACAGGGCAGAATATGGTGTCATCAGTCACAGTTAGAAGAAGTGTTTGCAATTTATCTTCCTCGTTTTCTAATTCCTTTCTCGTAAGTTAAGTGCATATTTCCCTCCCAGCAGAGCCTCAAGCAGCCTGCTCACAGGGAAGGCAGGCTTTACCCCTGCGCTGCATCCATGCCAACAACTGTGCTGAGAGCAGAGATGAGTTTCCCTATGGGATCCTGGCTGGGAAGCATTCGGACCAATGGGCAGCACGGAGCAGAAGCTGGCATCGGTCAGGATGTCCTGGGGAGGCTCTGGCCATTCCCACAGGAGTTGGGGATTTGGGGGCTTATGCACGGGAACATTTTGCACCCCCTGACTGTCTGGGGTTGCACTGTATTAGCGCTCCACAAACACAACAGTGCCACTTTTCAGTTCCTCCATCCCTCCAGTTCCAGAATTAAGGGATATAAAGTCTAATTGCATGGACGTAAGTAATTGCTCAGGTCCTCTTGGTTCTAACAGAAGCCATTAGAAGACGGTGACATTGCAACCAGGTCCTTCAGCCCACCCACAGCTCTGCCTGCTCTACCCCCTCCTTCTCTCCAACAAGCAAAGCCAGGCCAAACTCACCAAGTCATAGGTCTCTGATGAGTAGCTGACAGGCCCCATGGTGTCAGGATCTGCCTCTCCTCCAGCAGGTCAGCAAAAGTTCTTCTTTTTCGGGGTGGAGTTAGTCATTTAAGTGAGCAGGGAGGGACGCAGCAAGTAACAATACGGTATTTGCAAGGCAAATGAGCTCCAAGTGAAGGGTGACCTATATGATGTAAAGATTGGCCTCTCGCTTTATCACTTTTTCTCAAGTGTTTTGATTTTCACAGTGAAGCTTGAAAAATCCACATTCCTTTGGCCTGTAACGAGAAGATCCATGAGGTCCATAATTCCATCCTGCAAACCTCCATGGCTCTTGGCTGCTACAGTCCAGGGCAATCTGAAAGCTCTGTGCCCCACCGAAATCTCACCAGGTCTGGATGCCCTGTGGAGCTTTGTAAGACTTTGCAGACACCATTAATCACATCTGCATAACCATTAACCTTTGCTGGGGTCTTCCTGGCTGCTTCAGCCTCAGGGACCTACAGCCGTTCTCTGTCTCCTCCTGTGGCTTCATCCCTTCTTGCACTCATGGACCTTGCTGATGGAAAGCGCTGCCTCAGTGGCTGCGCTGCAGTTCTGGGGCAGGGCAGAGGCTTCTAACTAATTGAGATGTTAACTGAAAGTTTCTAATCTGAGGAAGGCAGGCACAAGTGTGCTGGAGCCTCTGTTCGAGCAAAAAGCCTGACAGGAGTCACACCGGTCAGGAAGGAGACACTACTCTGGCAGTCACTATTGGATTTTGTCTCTTTGTGGTTTTTAGCAGGAGGCATCTCCCAGGCTCTGAGTCCAGCCCTTAGAAGCGGGCTGGGGATGAGCAGGTTTCAGGGAACACACTGAGGTCACAGGCAACAATTTCCCTTGCAAGTACATACTGCACTGTGTGACTGCTGCCACAGATGAAGCACAGGATCCATACGATGCAGGAAAAGTGACAGAGAGGAAAACATGGACGAAAAATAAGTAGAGATAAAATACACTTAAATTAAAAACAATGCTGTTTTACAGGACACTAGCAGGTATGCGACCCATAATTGAATAAAACTATAATTAAATTCAACAATAAAGTTTGAGGACTGTTTTGGTGCTTGTGCATAGCAGCTCCTGGCTGAACTCTGACATTCTGCTGCAGGTACTTATTCTAGCTTGAGAACTGATTGTATATGATGACTAACAGAAAATGTTAACTTGTATAAGGTTTCCTGATAGTAGGAAATCAGCTGTACAAAAAGATGACAAAATGCACTCCTCGAGGATGATCTACTCTGTAACTACCATTTCAACTGACCGGTTTGACACTATACTGACTTTCTGAGCCAAACCTGTTCTGACTCCTGGATCTTCTCTCTCATGTTTTCAGTCATCTCATTCGTTGTTATCATCACAAATAAAGCTTTGCAAACCCAGTCAGATTTACCCATCTGTTAACTACTGCTCTCATTTGCTCTTTTAAGGTTGGTGCACCAACCTATTTCCTGCACCTCTCTCTGCAAAGCACAATGCCTGGCTCTGCTGAGAGCTGAGCAAAAGCACCCAGGCAGCACAGATGTGGCATAGCAGAGACCTCGCCAGCAGTGATTGCTGTGCCCAGTGGCCAGCCAGCAGCACGGCATGGGTGAGACGATCCCCTGGCAAAGGAAGGCACAAAATCTATCTGCAGGTTCCCGCTTCTCTCGTCATGCACGGAAGGGAAGCTTAAAAAGGACATCATGTGGAAGAGAGGATGAGAAAGGATTTGGGGAGCTCTCTGCCTTGGGATGATGGCTGACATGGCAAGGGGTCTGCAGCAGAGTGAGTGGTGTGGGGGTGAATAATAACTTAATAATGAGGCTTCTTTTTGGTGAGAATACAGAATGACTACATGAGAAGGGCTCCAGGCATGGCAGAGATGATTGTGCTGTCTGTGGCAGAAACAGTGTAATTTCTTTCAAATTAAATGGAATAACTGAAGAAAAAAAAATATTGAGATTCTCTGCTTCTATCTTCAGTGCTTTGATGGAGGTTGGACTCCATTTGGAATCACTCAGCCCCATCCAGACTTTGTGAAGAAAAACAGCCCCAAAAGAAGTCAAGTCATTCTCATCTATTCTGGAAAACAGAACAGCAGCATACGCTGTGTGCACAGTGGTTTTGAGGGTAGAGATAAAACAATGATCTAAAACTGGTGGTAGATGTGAGGAACAAGGAGAAAAATAAATATGACGTGAGAAAAACAAATGGGGAGAAATAAAAGGAGGGAAAAGGGAGGAAAAAAGTGGGGGGAAAAGGGAGGAAAAAAGTGGGGGGAAAAGGGAAAAGGAAAAAAGAGGGGAAAAAGGAAAAAAAAGGGAAAAAGAAAAAAAAAAGGAGGGAAAAAGAGGAGGGGAAGGGAAAGAGAAAAAAAAAAAAAAAAAGGAAGAAAAAAAAAAGAAAAAAGGGAAAAAAAACGTGGGTGGGAAGACCCAGCGCTGCAGTTCCACCAGCGCCGCAGCGCGATTCAAGCCGGCGCTCTCCGCCGGAAGTTCCACCCAGAAGGCCGACCGGAAGTGCGCCCCTAGCCGTGACCCCGCCTCAGCTCCCCTCACGTGACCGAGGGAGCAACGCCTGGGAGCCTACGCGTGGCGTGCGTGCGGACGTACGAACGTGCCTGCGTGCGTGCGAGGCGGGGCGACGTGCCGTGCCCAACCCTGCCGGGAGGGGGAGGGCGCACGGGAGGAAGGAGGAAGCCGCCATCTTGGAGCGTCGAGTCGCCATAACAAGGCACCCAGTGGGAGCGAGAGGATTTTTTTACCTGGGCGAGGGGGAGCGCGGCTGGTGGCGGTGAGGACGGGCCGGAGCGCCGGGGTGGGCACGGGCCCGGGGGAGCGGGTGGGGCGGTCGCCGCCGTCCGACCGGGCCTCGCGGCCTGCGGGGCGCCGCGGAGCGCCGAGGCCTGGCGGCGCCGAGGGCCCGCGATCGGGGCGGCGGGGCGGCGGGAGCGGCGGGGCCGGAGCTCGGGGCGGGGCGGTGGCGGCGCTCTCCGCCGGCCCGAGCGGCGGGGCCGCGGGCGGGGGCCGCTCCATTGTTCGCGGGCGGGGGTGCCGCTGTGGCGCAGCTGCCTCGGGCGGGCCGTGCCGCGCCGGACGGCCGCCGCAGTGCGGCCCGGGTCCGGCGGACGTGATGGGCGCCGTGCGGCTCCCGATGGCGCGGCCGCTTTGTGCGGGGCCCGCCCGGCGCGGCTCCGCGGAGATCCCGGGGCGGGTGGGGTGGGGGCGGCCCGAAGGGAAAGTTGTTGTGCGGGGCCTGTTTCCGCCGGGCCGTTTGTGAAATGGTGGCGCTTCTTGGCGAGCGGGGCGGTGATTCGCTGCCTTTGGCGAGGTGTTGTTTTCTGCTTTGGTCTGCGTCCTTTTAAAGCGTGGCTCTGAGCCTTAAGGAGCCGAGAGGTTCTCCGTGCCGCAGATATTTGAGAATTTGCTGCTGCTCGGATCAGGGTGCGATCCGTGCCTGCCGTTACTTTCCTGGTTCACGTGGTTTTTACCAAGTTAATGGGAAGGAGAATGCTCTTTCTAAAGAGAATCTGAAACTGGTTTTAGTCAGGAAGGTAAGCAGGAAAAGCACCCGATTTTAAACTTTCACTGCCAAATTATAATTGATGCACTTGGAAACAGCCGGGCAGTGTGAGAGGAATCTGAGTTTCTTTTCCAATCTCTTGAAACGCTCTGTAATACACCTTTTATTTTCCGTAGAAATGCTTTGGGGGGTGGGGGGAGGGGCAAGCAGTTTTTCCTTTACATTTTCTTTCTGTGAGGACAAATTGCCCAGACCAGCAGCACCACTTTCTGTTCCTCTGGAAGGTTTTGAACCAGAAGTGAGTTGGCTCCTTCAACGTGGTGTAAGGAGCTATCAGTCTCTGGGCCATACTTGCTTTCTGTCTGTAAGCTGCAGGCTTTGTGTTGTCTCTGTGGCTTTAGCAAATGCAGTGTCAGAGTTGAGTCGTGTACCAGACCATGGAGCAGCTCAGGTTGGAGGAGCCCTTTGAAGACAATCTGCTTCCAGCTCCTGAGTGCAGTTTGTGCTGGCAGCTGGAAGAGAACGTCATGCAGAACGTGTGAGCATGGAGTTAGATACATGCTATAAATGTATTTTACCGACTGCTGCTTTTAGGCATGGTTGCTTAGATTCAGTGAGAAGTTACTGTGTCTGTTCAGCTTGATGATACCATGGGCTTCTCTGTTTTGAATGGAGTTAAATCAGTACCCAGTTTAAAAGTTTGTGAATAAGCTGTCAGAACTTGAGAACTGGAGGAAGTTGGTTGAGGGTTTTCTTTCTTTTTTAGTTTTAAAGATCATTTCGATTTCACTTCTTATGTGAAAAGGGCATTTGGAGTCAAATGTTTTTTTTAGGCCTGACGTTAATTTCCATTTGATGCTGTCATTTTGCTTTCTGTCAAAGCCTTGTGCCTAACATTGTTGCTTAGAATGGTGGTTTTTCTGTGTCCCAGCAGTACAGGAACTTGAAGAACAGGCGAAGCACTTGAGATAATTTGTGCCTAGGTAGTATTTTTCAAGCAGTCCCTGCAAGGCTACTGAAAGCACAGCTGTTTACAGAATCATCTCTGGTGACCTCAGCTCAGCTTCACAGCGGGGAGAAAAGGTTTGATATGTGTCTCATTGTGCTGAGGAAACAGAAAAGCAAGAACTGTGTTGTGCTGCCTGCAAAGAGGTGATGTTTGCATAACGTGCTGTGTTGTGGGCTGATTGAGATGTGTGTGTACAGAAGTCCGTGTATTAATTGTGATTGTCTGCTTCTCTTTCAGATTGAAGCAAGTGAATTCTGATATAACTCAGCTTTGTTAGAGGGCTTTTTTTTTTAAAGAAAAAAAAGTTGATCCACAGTGCATCAGAGCAAGTTACTACTTTACTTTTGAGTGACTTACAGGTGCTTGCCTGCATTGCAATAAAGGACTCATATATTGAGCAAGACTTATTTATCTCTTCATTTTGGAGAGTCTAATAAACTGTTATTACAGTTTCTGTACTGACTTTCAAAGTTTTGAAGTCTAAAAAGACATCTTTAAACATAGAAACATGAGCACGGCCAGAACAGAGAACCCTGTTATAATGGGTCTATCCAGTCAGAACGGGCAGTTGAGAGGCCCTGTGAAACCCAGCGGGGGCCCAGGAGGTGGAGGCACACAGACTCAGCAACAGATGAACCAGCTGAAAAATGCCAACACAATTAACAATGGCACCCAACAGCAAGCACAGAGTATGACCACCACTATTAAGTGAGTATTCGTATCGAGTGCCTTAAGAGTAATGCTTACATGAGTAATGCCTTCTTGGGTACTTGCTTTTAGAAAGTTTGCTTCTGTTTTATGACGCTGATGACAGAAGTGTCCTGGAATGTGTGATATGAAAAGAAAGCTGTATTTCCAGGTGTGAGCTTCTCTCTGACATTTACCTTTGCAGTTTATTTGTTGTGAAAATTGAACTTGATGCTTTGCTTTTTCAGAACATGTAGCTGCCTGTCAGTGGTAGCCCACTGAGCAGCAGCATCCTGTTTTCTTTGCTCATTTTAAGTGGTGTGGGAAGGAACAGAAATGTAAGACAAAGGAGGAAGCACAGCCTAATCTTAGTCCAGTTTTGCTTGCTTTGGGGTTAGTTGTTGCAGATCTCTTGTGGTGAGAAACTCTTTCCAGTTGGTTCTCTTTTGTCAGTGAACTTAAATGGTGGTGTGTGCACTCCCTGGTGTAACGCTCCAATTTCAATTAGTCAGAGCCTAAGCCAAGATATGGTGGTACCTTTATGACACTCTTGTATGTTTCTCTTCTATCACACTGCTGTTGGAAGCGTGCTAATAATACATACTGGTTGGAAATTCCCTCACATCTGTGAGATTTGAATGTTACTTTTTTCCTCCCACAGTTGCCACTCCTCCCAAGCAAACGTGAATTTCTGTTTTGCTGCTTGGTTATTGGTGAAGAAAATCTGTGCCTGAGAGAGTGCATTATGGGATGCTCTGACTCTTAATGTTTGCTTAACTCATTTTCAGTTGTGGTGTTTTTAAACTGGATTACTACCCAAACTGAGGTCATCAGAACTTGCTTCTAACTGGGACTTGGGGAGGAGAACTTGTTCTCTTTCATATGGGGTCTTTTCAGAGGGGAAAAGTGTCTGAATCTCACTGAGAGTCAAATTCAGAATATGTTCAACATACAGTGTTGTACATTTCACTTAGTTTTCTCCCCAGAAATATTTTCATTTTATTTTACTTATGGATATAAAATAGACAGTTCCTGAACTCAGAAATGTGGGTCTTTTTTAAATTTTTTTTTATTTTTAGCACCAGTAGTAGAATTATACCTGTGTGAGTTTATTACTCTTCCTTAACATCACTCTGTCAGTGCTCAGTTTGAAATCTGTGTTCTTGTGAACTGATTCAGTGGCCCAAAAATGGGGCTTGAATCATGACAGGATAAAGATTTCCCAAGTTTGCTTTGCACTTGGCAGGCTGCTCAGTGCCTTTGTTTACCATTTCCTGCCTATTACATCCCACTTTGCTCAGAAAAGACTTGAGCTTGTACTTGTAGATGCTTTTAGCATACAGGAGCTGAAAATATTACATGTTAATCACTGTTGCCAAGAAAATCAGAATGCAAAACAGAGTTGCTAAACCAGCCTTTGTTTTTGTTTGTTTCTTTTGCTGTAGACCTGGCGATGACTGGAAGAAGACTTTAAAACTCCCTCCAAAGGATTTGAGAATCAAAACTTCTGTAAGGATGCTTGAATTGCAGGAATGGAAGTTGTGGGCGAAGCCGCAGTGAAGCAATCGTATAAGATTCAAGAGCACTTAAACTTTTGCTCAGCTGTTTTTAATGAGAAATTGCTGTGTAAAATTAATTTGGTCTCTTAAAATTAGTTGCTTCTTAGCATTAGGTGCTTCTTTTGTGAAGCTCAATAACTTAGTTTAATGTATTTCTTGTTACTCTTGTAGCTTCCAGGCAGGGTCCAATGTCTTCTGCAAGGCAGAAATCAAAAGATGTCCTGTATATTCACAGGATCGTATTTGGGTTTTGGAAAATTGATATTTACTTCTCCACTGTATGATATTGCATAGATAAGTGAGAACTCCTGTCTAGTAATGGAACATGCTTTCTGATCTTCCTGCATAAGCAGCCTCTCCTTGGGTCTGACTGATGCGTGGCTGTGGTTGTGTGTCCTAATCTTATGGATGTGCTTTTTCTGCTTATCCAGGACGTGACCTCCACAAAAGGAAATGAGTTTGAAGATTACTGTTTGAAACGGGAGTTGCTGATGGGAATTTTTGAAATGGGCTGGGAAAAGCCATCTCCTATTCAGGTTGTTAAAATAAACAGACTTGTTCTAAGCAGCAGCTTTATTTTTATAAATTCATTGGTATTATTTGTGCTTAAATGGTGAACTCTTGTGTCATGGCTTGGGGAACTGGGGGTTTGAACAGCAGGATTTTGTGACTGTAGAAGGGAAGAAACACTGATGTCCAAGTAAATCATAGCTGTTGGCTGATGAAGAGAGAGGGATTGACTGAGATTTTAGAGAAACTAACTTCAGTTTTCCTTTTCACTGTGGAGGCATCAGTGTGTTCCTCATTCAGTAGCATCAGTGATGGCAGTCACAGTGAGAACAGGACTGTTCTTATACATTTCCTGGAAAACTTTGATTTGCTGTAGATTGCATACCTTCAGTTGTTACAGAGGTTTCTGTATGGCTTTATCACCCATTCTTGGCTTTTTTTATCGTAAGCATCTGGAAGGAGTCATAATGGAGATTATAGGAGAGAGATTAATGTGTTAGTAAGTTTTCTGTCCCTCCCTCTTGCTTTTAAAAGTTGTTTTATGAGTAATTGTAGATGTGTGTGAAATTGCTGTTGGGAGGCAAGATAGTGTTAGTTTTGTTTTTAATTGTTGCTTGGAGAGTTATCATTGACAGCTGGGCTACTTTATGTCTGTAAGGAATGGAGGAAGCTAGGGCTTATTTCTAATATATCTGCTTTGAAACAGATTCTAACACATCACCTTTTCCAAGTGAAAAGATTGTAGATACTTGGGTTGTTTAGATGTTGCTGTAAAAGAAAGCAAAATGAAGAATACCTGTGGCCTGTACCTGAATGGCTGAAGTCTCAAAACCAGCAGGCTTTCCTTTTGAAAAGTCTGTCACAGAGGCATGCAGGTTGGAAATTACATGGGCTGATGCATTTCCAGTGTTAAGAGACGTGTATCTTTTTCTGTTGGAGAAGTTTGCAAGTGTCTGTCGCTGTCTCCTCAATTTTTTTTCTCTGATTTTTTTTTTATTACTTTTTGCTGGTATGTCAGTATGGGTTTTCCATGTCTGCAGTATCCAGTAGGGTGGGATGAGAACTTTATTTGGGTTATTGGGAGCAGATAGGTTTAACTTTTTCCCACTGTAAGTACACAATACTTACAGGATGTTCTGTTCACAGAATAAACATGCAATGTTATATTGTTAGTGAGGAGAGGTATATTTTGCTAATCTCTTTAGTGAGCCTAGCTCGTGATTATTCATGCACTGACTGTCATTTCAGGAGGAGAGCATCCCCATTGCTTTATCTGGTAGGGATATCTTGGCTAGAGCGAAAAATGGAACAGGCAAGAGTGGAGCCTACCTCATTCCCTTACTTGAACGGCTAGACTTAAAGAAGGACAACATACAAGGTCAGTTGGGATGGGTCTGCCTTAGCTGCATCCGGGTGGTGGTATTGTTGCTCACTATCTAGACCTGAATCTAAAGCTGGTTGATGAAAAGCAGTGATGTAGGTTGTCTGCTTATACTTGTAAAGCAAGTACGTGGGGAGTGGTGGAGGGAAGGTGGAATTGTAAAAGTTGCACGGTTCTTTTAAGGAACTTGAATTGGAAGGTATCTTCCAGACTTTACTTTCCTGCCCCAAAAAGTGGATTTGGAATAATAAACAAGCATGGTGGCTGGGAGAGCTGTGTGGAATGAGTGTCAAGGGATGTGTGTGGCATTTATCTTATTTTAAGCAGCTTCTAGGACTTCTCTAAGGATTCTATCAGGATATCTATAGTGGAACTGCAACACTTTGAAATCTGGCTTTTGTGAAGCTTCCGTGTTCTACAGGAAGGTATTTAAGACTGTGTGTTGATAGTAATTCATGCTGGTATTTTTAACTTTCAGCAATGGTGATTGTTCCCACCCGTGAACTAGCCCTGCAGGTCAGTCAAATCTGTATCCAAGTCAGCAAACATATGGGAGGTGCCAAAGTGATGGCAACAACAGGAGGAACCAATTTGCGAGATGACATAATGAGGCTTGATGATACAGGTTGGAGCACTTTGCTGCATTACAATTATTGTTTGTTAGGGGCTTTTATCCTGAGTGAGAGAATTTGTACTTTTCTCTTATGCCTCAAAACTTGTTACTGTTTGCTTGTTAGAAAATAGTTTGTGATGTGTCTTCGTCACAGTATATAGTTATTTTCTCAAACCCTTGGTATAAAACATGTCTCTGAGTGCTGGAAACACTGTCTGAATTGTCTTAACTTTTTTTTGCTCTTCTAACTCCACAGTGCATGTGGTGATAGCTACCCCTGGAAGAATTCTCGATCTCATCAAGAAAGGAGTAGCAAAAGTTGAGCATGTCCAGATGATAGTATTGGATGAGGCAAGTTGCTCACCTTAAAACTTTTTTCACTTTAATAAGTTAAAGCAGTGATGTGTCTTAGCCAACCACCTCATTATGCACAGCAACAAATAGCTTTGCTTGAGGATACCAAGCTAATTCATTTCTTGTTGTTTTGAGAAGGTATTTTGGCAGAAGAAGTGAATTTTTTAAGAAAGCAGCCTAAGAAAGTTTTACTTCTCTGTTTACTTTTTTGTTGCTGTGGAACAGATTAACAGTCACTTCTGAATGGAGGGAATGCATTTTGTTTAGTTTCAGTGTATAACAAGTGAGTGGTGCTTACCACAAGTTCATATAAACTGATTTCATAGAATCATAGAATGGCCTGGGTTGAAAAGGACCACAGTGATCATCCAGTTTCAACCTCCCTGCTATGTGCAAGGGTCACCAACCACCAGACCAGGCTGCCCAGAGCCACATCCAGCCTGGCCTTGAATGCCTGCAGGGATGGGGCATATGATTTGTGAACGTCTGAGAGGATTACAGGCTTCTGAGTGAGAAGGTTGAGAAAATAATTGTGTGAAAGCTCTTGGATTCTATTTATTTTTCTTTAATTTGATTCTGTTTTGAAAACCAGGAAATGTAAACTTCCTTTAAGTGGTGAATCCTGTTTCCAGCAGCTAAATCAGATATCTTTTAAAGTGTAGTATTTACTCCAGAGGGAGTGATCCCATCATGAAGCTGGGGAAGAGACTATTCCTGGTGATTTTTTCCTTCTGCAGTGTAACACTACCAGAAGACTGGAATCTTGTCCAATCTCTTTAATGTCTTATTTTGTACTTCTGATGTTACAGGCAGATAAGTTGCTGTCTCAAGATTTTGTTCAAATAATGGAAGACATTATTCTCACGCTACCTAAAAACAGACAGATTTTGCTCTACTCAGCCACTTTCCCTCTGAGTGTACAGAAGTTCATGGTGAGTGCAGCTGGAATCTCTTGCACACGATTGTGGCATTGTACATAGGGTACACGAGTGAGTGGTGTGTGGTTGTTACTATTATTTATGCACCCATGCTTTCTTGGTTTAATATATCAGCCTAAATATGGGGTAGAAGGTAATTGCTTCTAGTGTGGTCTGATGCCTTGGAGTTATAAGTAATCTTTCTTGAAATTTTACCTGCCCTATCTCATGGCATATACAGAGTGGCTGGGTACTGCATTCTTGCCTTGGAGGAATTTAAGTGTGCCAGAGGATAGGGATAGGGAGTCTTTATGCTGTTTTGCATGTAGATACGCCTGCTTTATTTTTCTTTGTCTTTCAGAATTCCCATTTGCAGAAACCCTATGAGATTAATCTGATGGAGGAGCTGACCTTGAAGGGAGTTACCCAGTACTATGCCTATGTAACCGAGCGTCAGAAGGTTCACTGCCTCAATACGCTGTTTTCCAGGGTAAGTGATAGGGCTAAGAACCTACAAAAGCATTTTTCCCCTTCAAAATGAATAATAAGACTTAAGGTGACAGAGGTTTTTCCTTGACAAGATGTACTAATAGTACTGTATAAGCTGAAATTAAAAATGATTCTTATCCTGCACTTCTGTGGTACAGAACCTTGCAATTTTTTTCCCCTGTTGTTCAGAAATACATATGATATGAATTGCTTGCAGCTCTTTTTTTTTTTTTTTTGAGAGGGATTTAGATGCATGCCTTAGATTTGCTGTTAAAATTCTATGTTTACTGAACACACTGATTATATGTCCAGCTCCAGATCAACCAGTCGATCATTTTCTGCAACTCCTCTCAGCGGGTTGAATTGCTAGCCAAAAAGATCTCCCAGTTGGGCTATTCCTGCTTCTATATCCATGCTAAAATGAGGCAGGTAAGTATGAGGTTACAGCAGTTGCTGCCTGAGTTCTTCTCAGCTCTACTGCATAGCTGTGAATGAAGTCTCAGGCTTGCTTTAAATTTACATGTCCTGTGAAAATGTACTTTGTTTGGTTCCAGTTTGTGTCCAGACGTTTTCATTTCTTCCAAACTGATGAGTTGGTATTCAGGAATACAAACAGAGCAATACTCAGCTGATGTGAGCACACCGCATGACTTTGCAAGCAACACAGCTTGTTCCGTGGCTGTAGGGGCATCTGAGAAGTCAGAGAGACAGCTTTGATCAGATCTCTTAGTGAAAGTGCCAACTACTGCATGCATAGCAACTTAGCACCCATGGCCTTGCTGTAAACCATGAAAAATATCAACGTGGCTTTGGTGCACAAGGATTTATGGTACTTACAGAGTATCTCACATCCTCAGGCTTCATACTGTAGCTTTCCTTGTTATTAGCCAGTGAACTGGGGCACTGCGAAGAGGTTGAAGCTAGAACAAATTAAAACAACAGCTTTAATGGCAACCTAGCTGCTCATTGGACTGACAAATAATACAAACATTTGCTGGGCTATGTGTGGGGCAGTAATTGAAGCAGAAGTGGAGGTGATGTCAGTGTTGAGGACACAGATGTGCAGGTGGATTGCTTGAGACCTGATTTTTCATTTCTCTGATTTGTCAGTAGTTCATCTTTCTGGTAAAAATGGAGGTATGGTTGTTTGATGGGATGCTGCAACTTGTTCATTTCACTCTCTGGAAATGATACAACTTAATCTTTGTATGGTCAAGAGTGGCTTGTTAGTGAGAGAAGAGTCTGCACAGACACATGGCTCATACCATCCCTGACTGATTCAGTGGTGGAAAATACTCTGCCTTGGAAAATGGAGTTACTTCAAGTTTTAAAGGAAGGATGTTTCCAGATTTTATATAAATGCTCACAAATACATTTTTAGGATGTAAGATATTAATATATAGAATTTGGCATGGGGCTAGAAGAGATAATAGTCAAAACATTGAGAATGAAGATGTGCTTTGGGCACCAAAATTTTTTGGTGTTAAGAAGTAGAATGAGGAACTTTGAGTCAGCTGATATTCATGAGGAGGTGAGGGTGGGATTAGTGGTTGTAAATTGAGTACTCAGCTGGAGGTCGTAGCTGTTCTTTAATTGGTTTTTTACTGATGTGTTTCCAGGAGCATCGCAACCGCGTGTTCCACGATTTCCGAAATGGCTTATGCCGCAATCTTGTTTGCACTGGTAAGAGTTCCTATGCATTTTTCTGTTTCTTAAGTTTGTGGTGGAGTAGCCATTAGCCCAGGTATAATAGATAAATTGTTTAGTGATAAAGCTAATCTGTTTTAGTAAGAGAATTTTTGTCATACCTGTGTGTAGTAGGCTGCAGTGCTCCTGTATCTCAGCATCACAGAATGGCCCGGGTAGGAAGGGACCTCAAGGATCATGAAGCTCCAGTCCCCCTTACCCCCTCTTCCCTTCCGCACCCCACCACACACAGGGCCACCAACCTCCCCATTTAATACCAGCCCAGGCTGCCCAGAGCCCCATCCAACCTGGCCTTGAACACCTCCAGGGATGGACGGGGCATCCACAGCCTCTCTGTGCAGCTGTTCCAGCACCTCACCACTCTCTCTGTAAAGAACTTCCCCCTGACATCCAACCTAAACCTTCTCTCCTTCAACTTCAAATCATTTCCCCTTGTCCTGCAGTTATCTACCCTTTCAAAGAGTTGATTCCCCTCCTGTTTGTAGGCTCCCTTTAGGTACTGAAAGGCTGCAGTGAGGTCACCCCACAGCCTTCTTTTCTCCAGGCTGAACGAGCCCAGCTCCCTCAGCCTGTTGTTGTAGGGGAGGTGCTGCAGCCCCTGATCAGATTGGTGGCCCTCCTCTGGACCCTCTCCAGCAGCTCTCTGTCTTTCTTGTACTGGGGGCTCCAGACCTGGACGCAGTACTCCAGATGGGGCCTCACAAGGGCAGAATAGAGAGGGACAATCACCTCCCTGTCCCTCCTGACCACCCCTCTGCTGATGGAGAGCCTGCAGGCATACAGGCTTTCTCTTTTAGACAAACCGTGGTGGTGCAGCTTGTTAACAAGTCCTTTCATTTTGATACTTTGTATTTCAGTTATGTTTTCTGTATGTTCTAATATGTGAGTGTTCTGTAAATTGCTGGATATGAAATAGTAGGAGAGCTGTAGGTGGAACTGTGGCTAGGATTATTGAATAATGATTTACTGGTTCTGTAAATGTTTGGAATTCATATTTTCTAAAAGCTCTGCAGTTCTTATCAGTCTGTATATGACCTGAGTTGTCTCTTAGAGGTGCTAATAAAACTCACTTGAAATGATACAGAAATAGTTAAGTTAGTGGGATGTAGCTCACATTTCAAGTCTGTTGTGATAACGGCAGTGAATGCCTTATTTGATGAGATGCTTATATAAGGTGACCAGCTCAGAAATAGTCATCATGTGCAAAAACTGGCTTGGTGTGCATTACTTCTTTTGACCTAGATCTGAAGACTTCATGTCTTGATCATTCTTTTTTTATTATCCTTAAAATGGATAGAGGAGGAAGAGGCTGTAACAGAACTGTATGTAAAATGTCTTGGTATACAGAAAGCTTATCTTTAGAAACAAGTCCTAACCAATGTTCAGAAATGCTAAATTTCCCAGCCCAGCATTAGATTTCGTGGAAGTTAACGTTCTTCATGACCTGGGTTGTCTTTCAGATCTGTTTACCCGAGGTATTGATATCCAAGCTGTGAATGTGGTGATAAACTTTGATTTTCCAAAGCTGGCAGAGACTTATCTCCATCGTATTGGCAGATCAGGTGAGAGGAAAAAACATCTTTTAGGGACAACTGTGCTGATGACTGTAATGTCCCTTAGGCTTTGATTGGATTCTTTCTGTTACTGTACTTGATAATTATTTTGAGTAGCTTTGTGTTTTTCTGATGCTTACTTACAGGCACCATCTCATAGGATTTTCTTCTCAAATACCCAAGTAAATGGCTGTGCTCTTTAAACTACCCTGAAGAGCCTGGTCCAAAAAAAAAAACAACAAAAAAAGAAACTGAGGAAAAAAAAAAGCACCTTTTGCTTTAATTTCATGAAACTTGCCGATGTTTATTGTTTGCAGTTTGGGAAGATTCTATATTGAAAACTTAGTTTCCATGTTTTTTTTTAAGCGTAGTGGCTTTTGTTTGTCTGTTGGTCTGCATGTGCTCCAAGGTATGTTTGTGGTGTCTGGACAGCTGCCAGATACATCCCTGAGAATGGCAGTGAAGAATAGAACTCTGTTTACTTCAAGTTCCATGCTGCAGTAGTGGAAGACTTTTACTTGGTAGTAGAAAGTCCTTACCAGATGTTGCTGTGAAGCTTGCAGGGGTCCAGGTTGACATTTATAATGAGAAAGCTATGTTAATAACATCTGCAGGATCTGCAGGCTTTTCAATTGACCTTCTGTTACTCAGTTTAAATTTCTTTTTTGAGGTCGCTTTGGACATCTCGGCCTGGCCATCAACTTGATCACCTATGATGATCGATTCAACCTGAAAAGTATTGAGGAGCAGTTGGGAACTGAAATAAAACCCATACCAAGCAACATTGACAAGAGCCTTTACGTGGCAGAATACCACAGTGAACCTGTAGAAGATGAGAAACAGTAACCATGTGCGTATGTGCTGACCTGGTCGTTGTGTTGGAATGTCATTGTGGGGCAAGAGGGGAAACTGATGTGCTGAAGTGTTGGAATGTGAAAACAGAGGTTTGAAATAGGCTGTCAGAGGAGATGGGGAGAATCCTTTTTGGAGACAGGATGGCTATGAGCAGCGTAATGAATTCTTTCTGTATTTCTTAGCTAAGAAGAGAAGTAGAGGCAGAAAGTTAAGTGATAATTAGAAAGGTGAGGAGAGAACATAGCACCGACAGAACAGCCTGATCACCTCAGCAGCTGAGAGAAGGTTCAAGCCATAGGTGCCTCATATTTGTTTTGCATTCTTTGATTCATAGAACTTTTGCAAGTAAGCGAAGTAGGTAACAGAGCTGTAATTCATCTTCATTGCCACTTGAGGTCTACATAGCATAAAAAGAAAATGAGGTTTCTTTGGCAAGGACTTTGGAAGTGTGACTTTTTGATTGCTATCTGAGGAAAAAAGGCTGAGTCAGTTCACAATCCAAGGGAACTGTTATTCTCACAGTCACAGCAAATAGAGGGTAATATTTGATCTGTTACTAGTTGAGTTGCTACAAACCATTTGGGTTGAAAGGAGTTCTGTAGTGTATCTTCCCTTAGAGATCATGAATTAAGAATTCTATCAAAGCCGCTGAAATTACCCTCAGTTGACAAAAAAAAAAAATTGCCAAAGAAACAGTCTGTTAATTAAAATGAAAATCAAAATGAAGCCTGTATCTCTATGAAATAACTGAAGGCTAGCCCTAGCCAGCTGGTCATGTCAAGGTGACTTGTGGCCTCTACTTTGCTGGCTGAGCTTTCTCCATGTTTTAAAATAAATAAATAAAGCAAATCAAACGGTGAACCTGGGCAAGGTTTTGGGTGGCTTCCTTGGGGAGAGAAGTTGGGTCATAGAGGCACATCTGAGGGGAGAGAAGTTGGGTCATAGAGGCACATCTGAGGTACAGTGGTTGAACTGCACCCGATGTCAGTGGCTTTTCTGGAGCTGCCCCACAGTCAGCATGATTCATTTCTTAGGTTCTGGTTTTGCACAGAGCTGACTTAATTGCAGGTGTTGTTATTTATGTATTTATTCATTTAGGCTTTGACTACATATGCCAGAAGGTGAAGCCCTTTGATCCACATCTGTGACACATCATTTCTCTGGGGATACCCTTCTCTTTGTGGGTTTTTCTTCGTCTTTTCATTTTGGAACTATGAAGACTAAAGAGCTCGGCCTTTTTTCTTTTTAAATTTGGCAGCAAGGAAGAAAGAAGATGAAAGGAGGAATGTCTTTTTGTTTTTTCCACTTGTTTGCACTGTGTGCTGATTGAACATTAGTTGCACTAACTGCTGGTTTTAAATTTTTTTTTCTTTGGGTGGGAGGGGCAGCAAGGGAAGAAGAGAAACCCTGAAAAGAGAAGAATCTTTGAACACGAGCTTGTCTGCGATTTCAAATTCTCCAACCATCGACTGAGTGCATTTCAACTTCTCCCTGGTTACTCATCTGTTTTTAAGCTAAAGAGCTTGTTACTTATTCGTGCAAAGTGCCTTATGCTATGAGACCATTCAGAATATCACCTTTCCGACAGCCCGAGGAGTCAACAGCCGTTTTTGGTTTCAGGTCAAAGTTCCCCTCTCTTCCCCCTCTCTTCCTCTCCAAGTACTCGAGGCCAGGGCTGTGAGGTGAAACTTATTGGTAATACTACTTTGTCTTCAACCTTTTTTTTCCTTTTCTTTTTTTTTTAGTTGGAGGAGTTGATATGCATCTGCAGTTCACCCACACTGTAAATACCTGTATTTAAAACAAAACCAACTTAAAATCTGGGCTGATTAGGTGCAGCATCGTAGCTCCAGAAGGAAAGAGTAGCCTGTCATCTCTTGCAGGAGCCATAAGAAAACCCCTATGCTCTAGCAAAACACTAAAGACTGGTTACCATAAGTCTCCATTAGTAGTTCCAGCACTTGATATGTAGACTTGTTTCAGAGCCGTGGCCCTCTTTCCTCTGGTGCAGTGTGTCCCATAGAAAATCAGATGTGTATATTGTACAAACTTTGTAAATATTTTTTTTTTCCTGTTTGGGTTCATATATAACTTTTTGTTCTTTTTTTTTTTTTTTTTTTTGATGAAGGTTGCTGGGGTTAAAGGGATTTGACTGATTATGGGAGCAGCTAAAGATGAGAGGGGCTCAGTTTTCTGCAACACTAAGCGATGAGAAATGCTCTGAGCAGGGCAGGCCTCCATGTGTGTCCCTGGTCAGGGTGGGTTTGCTCTGGTGTTAGCAACACTGTCTGTGCCACTTGTGTGGAAGAGATTATTTGCGAGGCTCTGAGGTCTCAGAAGTCTGTTGCTTAGCTTGGTTGAGACGCTCTTCAATTTCCCCCTTAGAAACTTCAGGAACTTTGCAAGCTCTGAAGGGTGCCATGAGCTGCGTTCTGCGTGGCACGAGGGGGATCCAGCGGGTGTCAGCGCTGCTGAGCAGGATATGCATAAGCTGTGGATTTGGGTTTAAAAGAAACCATAGGAAACCGAGATGCATAAACGGACAGTTCTGGAGCTCGATGGGAATGATTGATTTCTTGCAGCATTGTGTATTTTCTGCCCAACACAACCTCAATACAGACTTTTGGTGAGCAGGGAAGGGCAAAGCCCTGTAAGTGTCAGGAGCTGCAGAAAGCTGCTTGCCATCTGCTCTGTTTAGGCACGAATTGCTGTCTGTCACTGCGTTGTATATTGCTGGAACACGCTTTCTGGTCAAACGGTGTTGCTTTAAATTGTGCCCCTCCCAACATGCTTGATGTTTGGCCTGATCTCCAGGCAAAAGGAGTGAGACAAATCAAACTGTAAACTTTTAAAATTCCCTTTTAGCCTGTTCAACAACAGCGTCAGGAGGCACCTGGACGAATGCAATCCCTTTTGCTCATTTATTGTGTATACAGATGCTGCACTCACACTATGCTTGCTTACTTTGAGGCAGGAATTAATTAATTGTCTTAATTTCTCCCTTTTTTTGACCTCTCCCACACTTTTTTTTTTCTTTTGTTTTGAGTATAATTGTTTGGAACCAAAAGGCAGACTTACCTGTCCTTTTCCTCGAGGAACACACAACCAAACCAGGTGCCTCCTGACAACAGCTTTACAAGATGATCGAAAGGATGTTTTTTTATTTTTTCTTTTTTTTTTTTGTCAGCAGTGACTCCATAACTGTAGCAAATGCTGCACTAGAGTACAAACTCAAGAGCTTGGTCACAGACACTCTGTGAGCCACACAGCTTACATTTGACTGGCAGGTACTAAATGTAAACAACTTTGGGGTGCTGGGAGGGGGGTGGGGGTGGGACTTTGTGGGTGATAACTTTGACCAAAAGTAAAATCTTGCTCTTGTACTGCAGCCAGCTTATGATTTTTCCAGAGTCAGAAGAGGGATCATTTTAGTGCAACAAAGACATGAAAAATGTAAATAAAAGTTTTGTATCTTGCCAGGGCACACGCTTGTAACAAGAACAGGATAGCAGTGTTGAGTGAGGTGCGTGTGCTCTGCTTGGATGTGGGGTAGGTGAGCCTGGTGCCATGCTCTGATGGTCCCTCTTGAAGCACAGAACTTTTAAATGGAAAGTATTACTTTAAACTTGGCCTCTTATTGAGGATTGGCACTTACCTGAACTATCGGGGGCACCATTTTTAGGTGGCTTCCAGTACTGAAGGAAGCAGCCTATTCTTGGTGCTAATAGGCTATCTCAAACAGATGCAAATGGAAAGATGCTCCAAATGACTAGGGTAAGCCTAGGGTTTTTTTTCCTTTGTTTGTTTTTCTCCCCAAGATTAATTGTGTATCAACCTTGGCTTCTTGAGATTCCTTGTGACACCCTGTTCTTTTTCTAGTCACACGCCAGCCTTTACATTTATGCATTACTTGGAGCCAGTCTCTTCCTTCAGCGGAGGAGCCCTTGGGCCAAATACTTCCTCTGACAAAGATGGCATCAATAATAATATGATTAATTCTGCATTTTTTCCTCCCAGATGTCTAAAACTCCTTGAATTGAGGTGAAATGGCTACAGAGAGATTGACACCAATCCGCAGCCACTTTATTCAGATAAGCTGTAGGCTGGCCTCAGGGTGCACACTGCCAGGAGGGCAGTGCAGTTCTGTAGGGCTTTCCCTCAGTGGGGGGTGGGGGGTGGGTTGGTCTCAAATATGTATTTTAATTTCCAGAATGAGATGGGAGCATCTTTCCTTTGTGCTCTGGGACTTTTTGTTGTTGTGGGTAAGAACACGGAAGCTCGATATGAATTTGTTGTATACGCGTTGGTATCAAATCATCTCATTCTGATTTTGATTTTGGTTTTTTTACTTGGGTTGGGGGAGGGTGTCTGCTCTAAGGATTTAAAAATGCTTCACATGTTGCAGTGATTGAAATGATGGGAAGGGTGAAAGCCTGGAGCAGAGGGCTGTCCTGCAATGGCTCCCGTTCTGCAGGATGCCACAGCACGTGGGCTGAGCTGCATCACAGCTCCCTTATCCTGCTGCTGTGCTTGGCAGTCCTGCTGTGAAGGTTGGGCACAGCAGGCGTTTCCAATTGCTGTGAACTTGCAGTCTCTTTTAATTGGAGTTGATAATAAATGAGGGCTCTGGACCAAAGAGCATGCATCTGGCCTTCACATGAAGGCTTTGCTGGATCATCCCGTGCGTTTTGCTCAGCTCACTGCTGTGTTGCTGACGTGTCTACATGGAAGCATTTTTAAATTCTGCTCCAGACAAAGTGAGGGAAGGGTAAGGAGGGGTGGTGGGAGGGATGGGTTTATTAAGATACAGCCTTGCTGTATTTTAACCAATAATTAAAGGGAAGGGGTGGCAGGAGAAGAAAACAGTCATTGTTCCCGTTACACAAAAAAAATATGGAACTTTATTTGAAGAAAAAATTATTGCAGTTCAGGTGGGGTATCGTAACCCACCGCTCCCTAGTCAAGAAGTTGAACGTTACTGTTAATCAGTGAACAACATGGACAAATCATTGCAAACGTTTGGGGGGGAGGGGAAAATTGGCTTTTGGTTAAATTGGTAATTGGCAAACTCTCCAGCGGAGCTGAGAATTGGTTGAGAATGTATTTCTCTCTGGATACGTGTGTGTCACAGCACCGACTCGGGGAGAGTTTCACGAGTTCAGAGTGCAAAAATAAGACATGATAAAATCCTGATTTTGTTGATTTAAACTCAATAAAAGCTCCCTGGAACACCAGCATGGTCTCACGTCTTTCTTTGAGTGGTGCTGAGCCCAAACCACGCCGACCTCCTGCCTTGCACACACAGCCCAGTGCTACACGATGCCCTGCAGCAGCAGCATCCAGCCCCACGGTTTGTGGTTTTGTATGGTGCCAGCGTGCATGGAGAAACCCTTGGGCTGTACTGGGTGCAATGAGCACCAGAACCAGAGGGCTTGGGATGGACACATGGAGATCAGGGAGTCTGACCCTCCTGCTGAAAGCTTTCCAGTCCTCATTCCTCTCCACGCAGCTCATAGATGTCACTGGTCACAAAGCCACAGTCAGCACTGCAGGTGGGAGAAGGCAACCTTTGTTCCCTGATCAGTTCCTGATGTAAATACCCCATCGTTGTGAATCCTGCAGCAAGTGTAGCGTGATGCTTTTTCTTAGCGTGTTTAATGCTACAGTACTCATATTAAAAGAACCTTTCTGGGTCTACATATACTTCAACTGTTAGAAAATAAATCATATCCTTCATCCCACATTCTTCATCCTGAACCTCACCTCCTCTGCCCACACATCCAAACCCGTCTCATTGCACCCTGCATCCCTCAGCCCTTCTGCATCCCAGAATCATGGAATGTCCTGAGCTGGAAGGGACCCATGAAGGATCATTGAGTCCCCCTGGCTCTGCACACAATCACCCCAAATCCTTCACCCTCCTTTTTCCTGCATCCCTCATCATGCATCCTTCATCCCACCCCTGCCACCACATCCTGCACAGCCACGTGGCTGCCTGGCCATGCAGTGGGACATCCATGGGGACATGCTGGTCTGGGATGGCTGTCAGGGCCCTGGGATGGCTCTAATGAGTGCCAGCTGTGCTAACAAAGCAGTGGCTCCCACCTGCTGTGGGGCTGGGGCTGCCTGGGCATATCTGTGCCTTGCTGGGAGCCCAGGGCAGGGCTGGTCCCAAAGCCTCTTAACCCCCACTGGGGGCTGTTTATAGGGTTCCTGTTATTAGGCTCCCACCCTGCTTTTTCTGCTCTGCTTTCTGAGGCAGAGCACAGCCCTGGGGTGCCCTCAGCTCTGTAAAACAGGATTGTGGGTGCTGCAACTCCCTCTGCTTGTAGCAATGGGGGTGAGCAGGATGCTCCTCCAGCCCCAGTGCTTCTTTCTGGGGATACAAAACAACACAAGGGGCTGCTAGAATAGAAGAAATGCTTGAAATCTGTTTTATCTCACTTCCTTTTTTTTTGTCTCCTGTTGCAGGGTGAGTGAGGGCTGCAATAAGGATCAGCCCAAACCTGAGAGCAGTTCTAGAGACAACAGGACCACAGAGGAGGTGTGTGCCTGCTGCTCCCCTGGAGGATGGGGTTCTTGCAGTGAGAAGTGTAGGAGGTGCTGCTGGTGGGGGGGTTTCCAGCAGCCCTTCCCTGCTGGAGTTGGGGGTCCTGGTGCTGCTTCCTGCTCTGGGCCACTCCCTGCTCTCCTGCAATGGGGTGCAGAGGCTCAGCACCCCACAGTTGCTCTCTTTGCCCCTCTCCTCATGTCCTGATGCAGCTCTTCTCCCAGAGGAAGGCAACCAGCCCTGTATTCATCTCCCTGTTGAGGAGCTGCAGTGATGGAGCTTTGCTGGAGGATGCAGTGTGCCCTCCACATAGAGGCAGAGGCTGAGCTGACCCAACAGGCAGACCTCAGCTCTTCAGGTGAGTGCTGCACGCTGGTCCTCGGATGCAGCAGAACCTCAATCCCCTCCACCCTGCCTGGTGTGGGCTCTGTACCCCCAGGGCCCCATTCCCTCTGGCTGCTGGCAGAAGCAGTGGCTTCCCTTGCTGGTGTTGGTTGGCCAAAGGCTGCCCCTTTGGGTGGGGTGTTGTGTGGGTGGGGTGCAGCTCCTCCAGCCTGTTTTCCTGGGTGTGGAGAAGCAGCGTCATGGTGAGCAGTGCTGTTGAATCGTTCAGGTGTGGCAGCTCAGTTCTCAGTTTATTTGTGTTTCTTCAGCATCTTCCTGGGTGAAGGAGGTGGTGGCAGATTCCAGGGGGAGAAGCACCTCCGAGGTGGGGCTGTGAGGAAGGTGGGGGCTGCTTCTTGGTGGTACTCAACCCCCCATGTTGGAAGGTGGGAGGCAGGGCTTGGAGGGGCTGTGCTCAGTGTTCTGCAGCTCCTGCAGTGCTCCATCACTCAGGCAGAGGCCTTGATGTGATGCTGCTGCTGAGCTGGGGAAAGTTTTCTTTACAGAGCTGTCTCCTCTTGGCCACTGGGGGGGGCCTGGCTCCTCTCTGATGGTGGCCAGGTGTGGGCTGGGGGAACTCATCTCCGGGGTGGGGAGTGGGAGGAGAGCTCACTGTATCCTGCTTTGAGGAAGGTCCTGAGCTCTGGTGCCTGGCTGGCTGCTTTTCCAGCTACCCACGTGTCTCAGTGAGGCTCTCTACCTTGGGGGTGCTTGAAGAGCTTGTAGGTCCCACCCTTGTTCTGGGTGAAGCTGTTTGTGATCTCCAGCAGCTGCTGCCAGGAGCTCAGTCAGCACGCAGCAGTGTTGGGTGCTCTCTGCCTTCTTTTCCTCCTTACCTGGGGCGTATCAGTGATCTGTTGACCTGCAGGATGCTGATGTAGTTGGTGAAGGTCCCCACAAGAGGGATAACTTTAGATAAAGGGGGAAGAAGAATGCAATTGGTGGGGGGGAGAGAAGGATGAGGCTGGTGGTGCAACTTTTCTTTTCTTGGCAGCTTGTGCTGTGAGGGAGCCTTGCCTTGGCTGAGAGGCCAGCCCTATGCATGCTGCTTGGCACGTGCTTGTGGACTCTGCTCCAGTCTCTGTTAGGAGCACAGTTATGACTTAATCGAGTATAACTGGTGCTCCTGTGTGCCTGACACTGCAGGATCCAGCTGAGTACCCAGCATGGGTGCTTGAGCTTTGTCATATAGCAGCGTGAAGCTCTGCAGGGAAACGCTTGAGCAACTGCTCTCTGTTCCACTTGGATCCAAGGCAGGAGCAGAGCTGAGCAGAGGCTGCAGGGATGACATGGTTTGCCAAAGGCCCTGCTGCATTTATTCTTCAGCTCTCATACGAGTTACATGGTTAATAGAGCTGCCACCATGGGCTGAGCCAGCAGCTTCCTGTTGTGCTCCCAGGGGCTGCCTGCAGCACTAAAATGGCCTGAGGATGTGGAGCACACCGTGCACCTCCTCTGCCCTCTTGTGTAAGAGCAGCACTGCTGCTTCAGGAAAATAGAAGCAGCTGGGGTACATGGTGGGGTCCTTGTCTATCCATGCTCTCTGCTGGGGCTTTAAATATCTCTCTAAGTGGAGAGCATTAACTGTCTGTAACGGCAGTGCCAATGTTTGACCACCAATAAAGTGCTCTGTGCTTGCTTGGTGTTTTGGTTTGTGCCTTTGACCTCCCAGCTTGGCAGAGCCTGGTGCTGTCAGCTTCATGCCCTCCCTTCTCATCCATCCCTGGGAGAGGGAAATCAGAATCCCCATCACCACAGAAGTGAGAAGCAAAGTCAGATCAACAATAATGGTGCCCATCCCAAGGCAGGGTGGGCTGCCCCCTGGGTGCTGGTCACCCTTTTCCCATTTTACCTTCACCTCTTTCCCAACAGAGACAATGGGCTCTGCTAAATCGGGCAGAAAGGTGGCAGGGAGGGCAACAGACAGAGCAGCTCAGGACTGAGACACATTTACAGCTGCTCCGGGGAAGGAAATCCACCTCCTCCCACCCAACAGTTAGGGCTTGGCTTGTTTTCAGCTTGACCAGAAAGGCAGAACATGTACATGTGCCAACCACTGTGCTTTGAGTCCCCACATCCCCAGGAAAACAAAACAAAACAAAACAACACACTTCCTGTGCAAAAACACCCAGAAACTGAACCAGGGGGAAAAGAGTGAGAGGTGAAAGGCCCCAGGGAGACCCAGCCATCCTGGGCTGCAAGGGGAGGTGGAAAGAGGATGGACTGGAGCTGAGGGGGCACTTGCCCTGCTGCACTCCCAGCATGGTTCCTGCTGTGTGCTGCCTCTGTTGGGTCGGAGGAGATGCTGTGCATTTCACACCCTGTAGGCGCTGCTCCCCCAGGCAGAGCTGGCTGTGTCCCTGCCTGCTTGCAGGGCAGGAGGAGGATCTGAAGCCTCAGCTGACAAAGTGCCAACAGGGAGCAGCTGTGGGGCTGCCCTCACCCCCAGCCCAGCACTGGCTGTGGTTACACTGCAGGACCCCACTCCCCTTGAGTCCCCATTCCTCCTCCTCTCCACATCTCTTCCCCCAGAAGACTCTGCATCCTGTCTTTAAATAAGAAAAAAGGCAAAGTTTGTGCAAAACATTTAGATTTGCTGTAAAAACGAGAAGCAAACGTGTCATGCTTTTGTGGAAGAAAATCATTCAGCATCTAAAGGCGAAAGGCAGCACTGTCTTGTACTGAAGTGCACTGGGGTAACACTATCACTGCCCAGACTTCTCTGCTGGGTAACTTTCCAAACACAAATCACAGGTGGAAGGGAAGGGGAGGTGGGAAGGGGAAAAAGGAAGGGAAGGGAACAACACTTCAAAGCATGGCATATCCATAAAGATGACCCATTTTCACCATTACTATTATCATATGGAAATGCCTTTAATACAAGGAATAACTGAGCACCTGAACTGACACGGCCTGGGTTTAGGGCTGAACGTGAGCCTTTGACATGGTCTTAAAGCTCCACCAGTACATCAGGAGTTCTCAGAATAGCACCCAACACAAAGGAAATCATCTACGTCAGGATGTACGTCTGCTGAATCCATTGGAAAACATTTCTGTGCTGGCTCTGAAGGAAAGCAAGCATTGGAATACATCCACAAAGCAGCAGCATTATGTTTTCTGCAGTTACTGGTGGATGCACATTCTGCTGCTTGCATTTGGTCTCTTCCAATAGATGAACCCAGCTGGGAACAAAGTGCTGTAGGACACAAAGCAGTTCTGACATGGGAGCAAGAGAGAGGGCTTCCAAACCACCACCAGCACAACAGGGCACCACAGCTCAGTAAGTTTTCCAAACTAAGAGTTCATTTTAACTTCAGCAGAACGGGGAAATTTGGGCTAGGTTGAGAAGCTGCTGCAATCCCATCCCAGCTGCTGGCAGTCGTGCTGTGTCTCAATGTGAACAACAAGAAATGTGACCAAAGCAGGGATGTACACAGCCTGAAGTCCTGAACAGAGCAGGTCGTCACCTCCAGAGTTGGGCTGAACTATGTGAGGGCCTTCACTGCTTCTTGGTCCTCACGCTCTGCTTCAAACGCCTTCTGCCTGCTGCAAAGAATAGAGATTGATGAAGCTGTGCATTGACTTCAGTGGTTCCTTCCAATTCAAACGATTCTACGACCTACTGATAAACAAATGGAGCACACATGAAGTGAAGAACAGAACAGCAGCAGCACTTCCCACCTTTCCACTTCTAAGTTTTGTCATGACAAATGTTAATATAGGATAACACCGAGTTATTTTCACATTAAGAACAATTAGGACGGAACATCTCTTCTCCCAACACAGATCCTGACTATTTAGACAGGAGAGCTTTGGTGTTTTCATTACCTTACTTGGTTGCTTTTCATCTTTGGTTTATGTGGACGAGAAATCAGCTCTTTCTGAAAAGACAAAGAGCCTCTGATCATCATTAGTTCTTTCCACTTCTACCTGCTTCAATCAAATGTAATTCAGTTGTATTTGTTGGGATACACGGCCCTGCAGGACAGAAGTTTAACCTTGTATGGGATAAAAAAACCTCACCCATCTGTGCTCCATGCTGTGTGAATCAGAGCTGAAGGAAACAACAGTGGGAGAAACCTCAGCCCTCAGAGCACAGCAAAGGGGCTGTGAGGATTCTTCCAGCAGATCCAACCAAACCTGGGAGCTGCACAGTAAGGATGCACACACCTGGAGGCACAGCTGGAGCAAAGGAACCAGGACATGACCAGAGGAACCAGGACGTGACCCAAAGCAATCAGACGTACCGCAATTCTTTCTTCTCTCTGTTTCCTCAGCAAAGCCAGTATTTCTTCTTTCTTCTTGGCCTGAAGAAGAGACGTTTACCAAAATGAGCTCAGAAAAAAAATGAGCTAAAAGCACACGATGCTCATGGTGTAAACCTGAAATTCTTCACTGAAGCTGAGAGCCAGCCTGAGCATGTTGAGCTTTCAAGAGTAAGGCAATGCCAGGGCTTCCTATTTTAAATGGGTTGCACTGATTTCTCAGATTTACGGTGTTAAGAACTTTGAAATTTCATTGCTGACAATGAAATGCTCTACAAAGCCCATGAGAATGACTGATGTGCAGCTCAGCCTGGTGGAAGGGAAGCTGTAAATACAACGGCTATTTTGCCACATGCATCATCCAGCATAGATTTTCATTTTCTTACTGGATACCTGAAGCTCATAGCATGTCCTGTACCAAAAAATAACATGGCATCATTGCAGAGTAAGGCCATGTTATTACATACTTAATGCCAGTTGCCTTCGTTTCCACTGGTTGTGTGCATTTGTGATACATACGTGGGACATTAATACATGGGTTAGAGTAATGTGGCTTCAATAAAAGGCTCTATCCACTGATCACCTCAGTGACTTGGAAGCACACCCAACTGTTGTCTGCACAACTGTTAGCCAGCACCAGGCTGCTTCTGGAACTGCTCTTCATGTCGTTGCCAAAGTTCCAAAGCTCCACCAAAGGACGCACAAAGATCAGGGATGGCGATGAGAAAAGAGTTGGGCTGAGCAGCTCTTACCTGCTGACGGTATTTTTCTTTTGCTTCGGCTTTCTGCACGCTGTCAGCTGCTGATGGGGTCCATCTGTGGGCCAGGGTCTGCCCAGGGGATGAAGGTCCCTCATGAGACAGGTTGGTGGGACCCAGGGAGGACTCAAACAGCGGCGGCAGCACGGCTGTGCTCCAGAAGATGCGGGCGAACTCCACATCAGCTGGGCTCGATCCAGCAAAGATGAGGAGCCCATCAGGCTCTATGGGGCCACGTGGGGCTGTGCTCTGACGGCCCCTCTCCATCTGGTGGCCCCAATCCTGCCCCACAGCCTGAGGACGGCGCTGCCCGCTCTGCTGCCACGCTCCTGTCGCCCCGTGCTGGGGCACTGCTGTTCAGACTGGTGATAAAAACATTTGTTTTGATTAAAATGCTCGTGGGGCTGAATGACGTACCTTCAACACGTGCGGGCGGACGCACAGTTTGGCAAACCCAAGGCTGAGATGAGCACAGCCTACGTCTACAAATTTTGGGAAGAAGAAAAGATTTGCTTTGCTCAGAGGCGCTTGGGATGTCCTGTGGGCAAGATGAGTTGCTGTGTGCTCCCACTGGGTATCTCCCCAGCCTTTTTACCTGGCCGTGTGGTTAGTGATTGGTACTCGTGGCAATCAGCTAACTACACTGCCTAGTAACCAGGCTGATGGATGAACTCCTCCCTTCCTCTTCCTACTTTTGTGACATTTGGGTTTTTCTAAAAAAGAAAACAAACAACACCCCTCCCCCCAATATTACAGTAGGTTGTAAGACTACTAAGTTTGTATTTTCCACCTTATTATAGTTACTGAACGTTAAGCAAAGTGGGCATGGTCAAAACCACTCGTAGTGTTCACTGAGCTTCATATTTAATCAGTGCTTAAAACCCTCTTGGCTTACTGGCTTGTGAAGTCAGACATGAAAGCTGAATGCAAATGGTTTTCTTTGTAGCTGCCAGATCAACCAAAGGCAGAACAGAACAACAGAACACATTCTCAGCCCATTCCTGGTGCATCAACAATCGAGTCTACAAAAAGTCTTCATGCAACGGAGTGATTTCAGCATAGCAGACAGCATTCTTGTCCCAGGAACGTCCCAAAGGATTTTAGCACCAATTTAGCACAGAATCATAAAACATCCCAAGTTGGAAAGGACCCATAAGGTTCACTGAGCTCAGCTCCCAGCTCCACACAGGACCAACCAAAAATCACACCATACATCTAAGCAAATTTAATATTTCACTTGATATTGGCAACATATACCAATATATACCATATACCTGTCTGTTGGGCAGCTAACATTACTGGAAATAAGGATGCAAAGAAAGAAACATGAACCCTTTTTGCGCTAGGAATAAGGATGCAGTGAGGCTGTAATGCAAGGCTCCTGTGCCTTGTTTTGATGGCAGTGAATTTAGTGATTGTGGGGCACTGGGTACAATCAGCTAACTACACTGCCTACAAACCAAGCACTGCTCTCATGAAGGTGCAGTGGAATTCAAACCTGGAAAAAGAAGAAAGCACTTCCAATAATGTTAAAGTACTCCATGTGTTATTATAGCAACAGTTGGCAGTGTCAGAAAACGTTGGTCATACCACCCTTAGTGCTATTCCACTAAATCCAGAGCTCTCTTTTCCCCAGAGATTCAGGAACAGAGGCAGAGGTGGCTGTCAGCCCCCACGCTGCTCAAACACTGCAGTGCTACCAAAGAAATAGGAAAATCTGGTCAGTCAGAATAGGCAGAAGTAGTTATAATTAATTGTGCCTCGTGACTAATGTATGTGTATGCAACTAGTAATACCATCAAATTACTTCTTATGGATTTATCAGGCTGCTGCTAACTCAGCAATGAGACAGAGCCCGTGAGGTTACAGGAGAACTTTGCCTGCAAATTAAACCTTTTTGGTTTTGCTAGCTTTCAACCATAACTGCCATATTCTTAAAATGCAGAAAAAAGGAATTCAGGACTTACCCTTAAGAAGCTTACCTTGTGAAAATCCTGCTAGGGGCTGAATTTGTAAGAAAATGCTCAAAAAGAATTAACAGGACGAGACAAAGGGCTCGCTGCTTCTTTCCTTTCTTTCAGCCCACCAGGCATCGCTTTCCCAGGCAGACGTGGGGATGGGCTGGACCCTACAGGGGCACTGCGTCCCCATCTCTCCCCATGGGATGGCTGTGCTGGAGTGGCCCCAGCCGGGTGTGGGTCAGCCCTTTGTGTACATTCTGTCACCATGGGCACTCAGGGCTGGTGCCTGGAGGATGGACCCAGCTCTGAACCGACCGCACGGCTCCTGGGATGGGGAGCTTTGTTGCAGAAGAGGTTTCTATGGGCAAAGTCAATACGGAGCACAAGTTTCTGCCTTCTCTTGGGGACAGATGGCTGCGGGTTGGGCCAGGGCTGCAGGGGCTGTGATCCAGGTTTGATGCTCCATCTGGCGGTCCGGCACATCGCTCTGGGTGATACCTGCAGCCTCAGGCTGCTTTTAAGTCATAGAGGGGCTGAGGTGCCGTAGAAGGAGGCCTCAGGACAGACAGACCACAGCTCTGACACAGCAGATGGAGAGGCCTTTTCCCTCAGGGATTGTCATCTGGGATAACAAAACAACTCACGCTCCTTGATTTCACATCAAGTCGTGACTTCAGCTGCTTACCTGAAGGTGTCTGTAGCTGATCATCTACAAAAAGCAGGCGGTGCAGAAGGAAGGCTGCCACTGGCAAGCTGCACTCAGCTCTGCTGGTACTCGGTGTGGAAATTGCAAAAACTTCTGTAGAGCTGCTCTTGCCAGCAGCGTGCGAAGGGAAACTGTTTGCTCTAGGTTTGGCCTGCAGTTACTAGAGAAACTGCATCTGACTCTCTTCCCTTTGCACTTCATGCCTAGGCTTGCCTGGTGACCAGGAGACCCACAATTTAATCTAGCTAAGAATGCTGGTGCTGAGTTCAGGCCTGACCTGAATTCCACTTCAAGCCTTTGGACGGATTTCCATTGATTTCAGTGAGCTCTGAATGCTTCCAGAGTTGGAGGCTGTGGATGCCCCATCCCTGCAGGCATCCAAGGCCAGGCTGGATGTGGCTCTGGGCAGCCTGGGCTGCTGGTTGGGGACCTGCACACAGCAGGGGGTTGGAACTGGATGAGCTTTGTGCTCCATTGCAACCCAGGCCATTCTATGATTCTATGATATGATTCCATGATCCCATGAATACCCAGGGATAATCATGCAGTGTTTTCTAGTATTGTACAATTATTATTTTCTTCTTCCCAGTAATGATTAAAGAACCCAGCAGCCCCCCTTACCCAAAGCATCCACGTCTGCTCATTCATTTAACTCATCAATCAGAACTCCTGGCTGTTCACAGTGCTCTGCAGGACCGCTGGGATGCCAACAGACCCAGCTTGGACACAGCTGGGAATGGGTGGGAGCACAACTGGCTGAGTTGCTTTACAAATCTCACGTTGGGATGGAGGGCTCACATTTTCTCTTTGACACTTCCTTTATTCTCCAAGCAGGAGACCCAAGGCTGTGCTTTCATGCATTCAGTGACAACTGACAGCAGAAGGAGGGATTTTCATTCAATGATTAAGCCTAATTAAAGGAGATAGTTCTACTCGTCAGTGAAATGGGAGCTCAGAAATGCCCACTGCCATTCTGGCTGCAGAAGTTCTGAATTCACAAAGGATTGTAAAAACACCAAGTTAAAGCATTCTCGTAGCCTTATTTCAATGGCAGCATTAATAATTAGAGCCAGCTGGACAGGTTGCCAAGAACTGCTTCATGTTTCTTTCTTTTTCTTTCCCTGTCTGATGCAGAAAGTTGGTACAGTCCTGGGTTTGGTCCCTTGACATGCAAGAAACAGCACTTAATGCATGACCAGTCTGGTTTCTCAGGTGAGGAGTTTGTTTACGGCCGGCTCATTAGCTGTGGGAACAATGAACCCAGCACGGTGGAGGTGCTGCAGGCATTCAGGCCTCCCTGACCGTCCTTTGTGCCACCTGCCCCCTTCTTTCACCACGGAATTTCCCAACTCACAGGGCCTGCCTGAACAAGTTAGAGCTGGAGAAGGAGGAAGGCCGGAGACAGTCTGCAAACCCACTGATGGACGCGTTGCTCAGACCCCAGCCAGCCCTGCGAGCGCTCGAATTGCTTGGCTGCAACACCTACAGCCACATCCAGAACCTGTGTAAATGCTCAGCTCTTTTCACCTTAATTTGTCATTTTGTCTGAGTGGTTTCTGATGTCCAGCAGCTTATTGCCTACAACTTCAAACAACGAAGCATAGAATCATTGACTCAGCAAGGCTGGAAAAGACCTCCAAGATCATCCAGTCCAACCGTCTGCCTAATATTTCCCACTAAAGCAGCTCCCAGTGCCATATCTAAATGTTTCCTGAACACCTCCAGGTCAGTGAGCCCACCACCTCCCTGGGCAGCCCATTCCAGCACCTGACTGTTCTCTTGGGGAAGAAATATTTCCTAACATCCACCCTGAACCTCCCCCAGCACAACTTGAGGCCAGTAACGAAGCACTCGCACTCCAAGAGCTCTTTAAAAGAGTCATTCGCATCCGCCGTGAAACACCACACAACAAACAAACACAACTACAGTCATCAGAAAACGTGAACATTAATAAATACAGAGTCATCCAATCTTTTGAATAGAATCACAGAATCACCAAGGCTGGAGAAGACCTCCAAGACCACCCATTCCCACCCCCACCTACCACCAATAGCTCTCCCTAACCCGCGTCCCTCAGCACAACACCTAAACGTTGCTTGAACACCTCCAGGGTTGGTGACTCCACCACCTCCCACCAAACACAAGGGCTTCATGGGGAAAGGAGCAGTGCTGCACAAATTCCACTAACGGCAGCAAAATGAGCTTGTGACAACTCATTAAATTTACTCACTTAAGCATTAAACTGGTGTTTAACTAACAGACTGATGGAGATGAAAACCCATTAAACGTACCTTAGCAGAGGAAGCTGATATTGGGGTAAAACCACCAGGGTGGATGTAGCCTGGAGCCCCGCATGTTGAACGACTAATGGAGCACAGCTGAATGCTGTTACAGCCCTCAGGGCCACCTGGATATAAAGCCTGAGCAAGACGTGGTGGTGCAATGGTGAGGGAAGGGTTGGGTGTTTTGGGGAGGAGGTTTCTTATGTTTTTCTTCTTTTTTTAAATAAAAAAAAAGTCAAGTGAAAGCTATATAGGTTTTTGTAGCATTAAATCTGTTTCTTTTGTGGCTGTCTGAAGTTGTACATTAAATATATCTCAGGTTTTCAACCACTTTGGTCTGAGAAGGTAACGTTTGTGGGCTTTTGGTGTGTGAAGTAGCTCTGCAGGTGCTGCTGGGTGTTGACTGCAATGCATAAATGCTGTTAAGGACTAAAACCTTTTAAGCTTTTACATTTTAACAAGTGCGCTGTGAGTGCTTTCTAGAAGTCTGTTGAACTGGTGTGGTACCCTGAACTGAAGTATCCACTTACTTGGTAGTTTGGCTTATTTAAGTTTTATCTGATGGGTTTTAGCATCTCTCCTTGGAACTTGATAGCACCTTAATGCCATTAAATTGATCCTGTGTAGTGCCTCATCTCTCCTGGTGACTTTCCAACAGTTAAAGCACTTGGATTTAAAATGAAGGATGAAATTGCTGCTACGGTCTTCTTCATCACGAGGCTGATAAAAAGGGAAGACAAGCTGAGCAAGCACAAAATAGAGAGATTTGCAGCTAAGCTGACAACACTGCTGTTTGAAAAGTACAAGAATCACTGGTACTTGGACAATCCATCCCGAGGACAGGCCTTCAGGTGAGAGGCCCTTAAGAGAAGGGGAGAGAGCCTGGCTTCTTGAGTGCTGGACAGGTGGCCTCAAACTGATTTCTATAATCAGCTTCTGAAGATGGTGGAGTTGCTGGCTGACTTTCTGATAGCCTCTATAAATGGGAGTTTGCACCACCAGGCCAGCTGTGTTATAGATGAGGTGGACTTAATCCTATTTCTTGGAGCAGAACTGCAAAGTGGCAGTGAAATGTAATGTTCCACCTGCACTTGTGTTCTTACCTAGGTGTATAAGGATAAACAAACATCAGGCAAGAGATCCACTGCTGGAGCAAGCTTGTGTGGAGAGTAATGTGGACTTCAACAAGCTTGGTTTGCCGAAAGAGATGACGCTGTGGGTTGATCCATTTGAAGTGTGCTGCAGGTGAGTCGAACCTGTGACTGACATCACCGTCTGTCAGGTGTTCTGTGGGGACCCCATCCTCTCCAAGCCCATCAGTAGAGGCTGAGGCTGTGCTTGGTAGTGTCAGGTGAGCAGTACCTGCTGGTCCAGAGCTGTGTGGCACAAAGACAGTTGCTTCCAGGTATGGAGAGAAGAACCGGCCGTTCACAGTTGCTCACTTTGAAGGAGAGGAGAACCCGGAGCTCTCCCAGCAGATCAATTACGCTGTTGACAGAGCAGCACTCGACTGTCCTTCTGGCACCTCTTCGGATGAGGAGAGCTTCAACAGGGAACCAAAAGCCATCCCTACTGTCAGCAATCCTAACAGTGTCTACCAGGTAAATACGTGGGAATGGTTTGTCCCTTTTGCTGAAGGCCACCATCTGTGTCCCAAAGGCTCCTTCACAAAGGTGTGATGGACTAACAGTTGTTGGCCAGGCTTATCTCCCTTTTCCTGCCCAAACACATTCTGATGTTATCTCATTTCTTGCTGCCTAGTTTGACTACTGCAAGACACCCTTACACTCCTGGTCTCAGTATCTTCATAGGAAGATGCACACGAGTGGCTCATCCTATGCCCAGCACAGGGCTTACAAAGCCTTCAGGCCAGCTGTTGCTTTCCCAGGACCACGTGTTGATAGATACCACTGGATCAATACCAAGCGCTAGATCTGTGGCTGTCCCTGTTCCAAGAGCCTCCAACGCTGAGCTGTGCTGTGGGATGAAAGCTGGTGCTACAGAGCTTCATGAAAAGAGAATGAACTTACTGTCTGTTCCCTATCCTCTTACTCTGTACTATTGAAACTCTGAGGTTTTTAAATAACATTTTAATATTTTAACAATGTTAACAAGACTGAAAATTAACATGAGATGCTACTTGTAAACTAAAAAGGAAATGCATATATATCAATAAATCTAATCATGTTTTCTTTTAAAAAGCTGTCCAATCCCCTCTTGGTGCCTGAAGGGAGTTTAAAAAAAGGTTTTGGTCAAAACATGACTCAAGGAAGATTGGCAATAAATACACCCTTAGAGCTGAGGATACTGCTTCCTTCTGGCCGAGGTAGCAAGGGCAGCAGCGTTAGTTGCACTGGGAGCAAAATGTCTGCAGCTCACAATGGGTGAAGCTCTGCTCTGTGCAGCTGTGAAGGATGGTCCTGTGCCCCCATCTGGGTTTCTGACTCTGTCGATAGCTCACCTGTCAGAAGAAGTTAGCCCATGGACAGGAGAGGGATGGATAGATGGTGGTGTAGCTCTCTGCAGCTGTGAGCAGCACAGCAAACATCGCCTGCTCCATGGATGGAGCGTTTAACAAAGGATGTCTGTTCTGCAGCACTGTGTCCCCCAGGAAGCTTTTCCTATGCCACGTGAGTCACTTTAGCTGTCCTCTCACTCAGTCAGAACTTTGGAGAGATGGAGACTATGCTTTCAGTAAGTAAGGGCTCATTGGAATGCTTCTGGGCTTCTGAGCTGTGCTCTAGGATGCTTTATTTAACTCAGTCCTGGCAGCCACTCAACACAATGGCTTTGCTCTGCCTTTCCTACTGACTTGTTTCCTGCTCCTCAAACTTGGCCACGAGGGTAACAAGCCATGGTGGTAGCTTGTCTTGCTGCTTAATCTCTTTTTAAATGCTCAACAAGCTTGTTGTCAAAATAGCTCTTGTAAATACATCTGACTGCTTACTGCAGTCATTTCTTCTTGCTGTAGTCCTCCTCTTGCTACCCAGCAAGCAGTGATGAAAATGACTAATGTGCAGTTCTGAAAGAGAGGCTTTGTAGAAGAAGACAACCAGGAGCCATTTCAAGCATTGAGGGCTGCCTGTATGAAGTCAAACAATTAAAATAGTAAGTGTAGATTTCAGGTAGCTTCATAGTTGGTGTTTGATTAAAAAACAACACATTTGTATTAAGCCACAGTTACTCAAACTGGATCCTATCTTAACTTTCAAATAAAACATGGATGGTGATAACTAATAAGGTTGAGTTCTATATTCCTCTTCTCAAGTAAGGTAACGTCTGTCGTGCTTCACCACAACTTGCTGTATTTCTTCAGAAAAAAATCACATTGCAAGTCAAACTTGGTATTAATAGGATGTAGTAGATAGATTAAAAAAACCCAACAATTTCTCTCACACTATAGAGGCTTTCCTTTTTAAAAGACTTTGTTTTGAAGTCTTTTGTGCAAATGCTGTGATCTGTATGGCACTGAATAAAGGAGGAGATGTGAGGTGGGAGGCTTCTTCCTCACTGAGAGTCGCAGTATCAGCAGTAGTGTTTCCAACTAATCCATCTATTTTAATGTTTTTTCTCTCCTAGTGAGATCTAAGTGAACACCTCAGTGTAGGGTGAAGATAACAGAATGAGTGCATAATTTGTAAAGCAGTAATAACCCACCCACTTCTCAGTGTTGAATGCTTGATATTGAACGATGCAACAGCGTTAATGTCAGGATACTCAGTGGGTCATGACCTGATTTAAAGTTCTTGCTCTTTCATAGATTCTTGTATGGCGTCTGTTTCTTCCTACTTGTTATCTAAACCAGAGGCTGCAGGGGGCAGAAGAGGTGATGATCAGTGAATAAGAAAGGTTGTCTTTCACACTTTGGCTCCTGATTTTGCCTGATAAAGTGACAATACAATATTTTCATGTAAAGCCTGGGGACAAAAGCAGATGGCCAATTCAGAACCAATCCACCAAGTTGTCTTTTGAGGATCATTAAAACTTCTTGTCTTGGGCTATTTTTTCTTCTAATGCCTTTATTTGCTTTGCCAAATGGTCTTTCTCTAAAGTAGTTAATTCAAGGTAAAAGCAAATGTTTGGTTTTGCTGTTGAAAGATGGTGTTCATTCTCTATGGTATCTTTTCAGTTAATCCTCAAGTTCTGAAGGAAATGAATAAGTACAGATTTCCTCTTCTGAACTGAAGGTGTTGAGTGCTTAAAATCAGCCAATAGAAATGCTGCTGTTAGTGACAGCAGTAGGCTTTTCATGAGACCAAGTTACACTAATTTCACTGAAATGTAACTTCTGTTATCCAGAAAGTGGTGATAGTTTAGGGAGAAGTAATCAGTCTTTCTGATGTCAGAAAGGGCAGGTCAGCAAATTTGACCTACCCTTCATCCAACCTGCCCAGATGTAGCAGGTTGTGAAGATTGGCTTTGGTAGTGTAAAGTGAGGTCATAATGAAAAGGTGTCATGATCTGCTTTGTATTCAACTACACCATCACAAATCACATCCTCCATCCAAACCTGCCCTTTTTATAGCTGCCTAAGGCATGAAGGAAATGCTTTTTTCTCTTCTCAAACAAGCTGTCATTTAGTGGTTCCTCAAACTTGTCATTCAGTAAGCACAGAAATGCAGAGAGCAGATCAGTAACTTTAAAGGCCTTTAATAGACTCTTTACATACATTTTTCATAGTGCTGCTTTTGATGCTGTCCTAGTGATTTGTATGAGGCCAAATAATTTTTTTTGTGCTATGAGGGTTTTTTTTTCCAGGTAAAAATGATACTTGTGAGGCTGTTAGATTTGAAACAGATGTTTGTTAGGAATTGATGGCTGCAAATAGGGAGCCCTAATATCTATAAGCAGCTTTTAATTGCCATTTTGTAATGAAGTATGGAAAAAAAGGATGGTGAGTTTTCAACCAGACCAGGAGTCAGTCTGTCTTCTTATCTTCTCCAAGGCTTCAATTTCTGTGAGGTTTTTCCCTTTCACCTCAAAAAGTTGGGAGATCAGGCTTATTTCTTCCTTGGAGAATGGCTCTTCCTTCAGCAACATCTCAGTTATCCCAGAGGATTTATTATCTTGGAGAACTGCTGACAGCTGAAGTCTGAGAGAAAACATCTCACCAAGGCAAGTCTTTAGTGCCTAGAGAGAGAGAGAGAAACAGTTTTGAATACCTGGAAGCAGTTGAACATGACATTTAAAACTACCCGCTAATCAAAGATTAGTATGGATGAGAGGTAGAGCAAGTCAAACAAAAACTTGTCTAAATATCCTAATATTACTTGTGGAAGCACATTTTATCTCAAAAATCACCTCCAAAACATTATTGGTCTCATAGGTATTTGATGTAGCCCACAGATAAGCTCAGTAGTGTGGTTAACATGCAGCTGTTCAAGATTGAAGCAGGATGAGAATGTGGTACCCAGCATCAGCAAAAGCTGGGATATTTCTGCTGTGTTGGCCCTTAGGCACTGTAAGGTTGTTCTTGACAATCATGAGGAAAATCACCATTTACAAAAGGCAGATTTTGGCAGGGACCTAAGATCACTTTGTGCACAGTAGGGATATCTTTGAGGAAAAAGATGACTGTGCATCTCCTGCAATACCAAAATGCACTCTTTTGAAGGCTGGATGGAAAGGACTGCCTTGTATTGAGAAGCTAAGGGAAGAACACTGCTATTCCATTTTTATTTCTTGATAAATCCATATGTATATCTCTGGTACATGTTTTCCAAATATTACTGTAGCGTAATTACATTTGGAGCACACAGAGCTACCTGATAAAAAAGCCTCAGAAAGGTTGGGTTGGTGTCTTGGCTGAAGTCAGCAGCAGTGATGTGAGCAAAGCAGTGCACAAGGAGCAAGAGGAAACTTCCAGCAGAACCCAGGCAATCCCTCAGGATGAACAGTTTGTTCTTGGAAGTCTGAAAAAGAACAAATATCCTGAGCTGAGCACAGCCAATGGTCAGCTGAAGAGATATAACTCTGCCAGAGGTTTGGTTTTGATTTCAGAGAAGTTATAAGATTCAATTCAGAGAATATGGGGAATATCCATATAATAAACAATACAGCACTATTTCTTCATTTTGGGACACTTTCTTATGTGTGAAATCTAAAGCATTCTCACACTGTGTTTCTAGACAGTTGTATCTCTGTGAATTTTAGAAAGCTTTTCTAATATTTCCCTTTTAGAAATACAAAATCTATTTTGTGTATCTGGTTATAGCAAATAAAATGCTGATGAATTGTTCACTTCTATAAAGGTGACCTGTAGAAAATTTAGTGTAATTTGAACATGAGAGACTGAGTAACCACAGTAATGTGCTCTGGGTATGACCTGCACATGAGACACTTATTAAATCTCTGTATTCTACAGTGCTCTATTAAGTTCACATTCAGAGAAATCCAGAGCATGCCATTAACCTTTAAGGGTCCTACATTTATATCAAACATACAATAATTTAAAGATATGAAACCTTCCTGCAGTTCACTTCCTAGGTCCATAACTTAATGAATATAAAAGTATTACATAGGTTGGTTAGATGTGAAGTTGACAAACCTGATAAAAGAAAGAGTTCCTGAAGGCATTGCCTGTGGCATTACAGAGAGGAATACTGGAGGCAACACACAGGTTAACTTCTGGAGCCTGCAAAGGGAAAGCAAATTGCTTCTGTAAAAACTGTGCATGCACATCAGACCTGCAAAGTAAGAGGGGTTAATGGGATATAAATTCATTTAAATGTCACCTTTGATTTGCAGTAGGTACAAAGAGCCAACAAATACCACAGAGAAATGGGAACTGTTTAAAAAGCCCTCTCATATTGCAGCAATTCATCTTGCCAGTTTTCTAATGAAATAAATTAAAGTGTACTCTTGTCCCCGAGCTCTGACTGTAGGCATTGTTATTTTTATTAGTATTTATTTTATATTTCTATGAAAGACCCTGGACAGTCTACATTGAATGAAGCCTTACTGTGCTACGAACTGTAAAATGAAGATAAGAAATGCCTTGCTCCAAATTAGAGAAGAAATATGCTTTATCCTAATATCATTCAGTATGCAACAATTAGGTAATGCAAGGTCTGGGTGATGTGCATAGGAGGGATTACACAGCAAATACAAGAACTGACCGTGGATCTTGGGCAACAGAAATTTGATCTCAAAACAGTCCTACATCACTGTGGAGAAAACACAAATTCTGCCTCCTGCTGTCTGCAGACTAGTCTTTTTCAACTTGATTTTACTTATTATTGACAGATGCTTTGCAGCTTGTTGGCTGGAGGATTTTTTAGAGCACTGTTCTTTTTGAAGAACTGATTACTAAATACCAGCATCTTAAAAACTTACATCAATGTGAAGTCTGAGAAACTGCAGCAAAGAGATGCCATACTGATATATGACAAACTCCCTCGTGGATAGGGCTGCAGAATCCACTACTATTAGTTCTCCTTCTTGACTCGAGAAGGCATCTTGTTTACTCTGAGAAGAATGTGCTGTTTCTACAAAGAACAACAGAATCTTGTTAGACTAATTCATTTTGTTTCAAGTGTCTTCATTTCACTGCATTTCTCACTTCATAACATTTCTGTCATTCTTCAGAATAAAACCAAAGCTGATGATGAAATATCAGTTCTTTCAAGAGTAGTGCAGAGCTCAGTGTTCTTAGGCAACCCCTAAAACTTCATTCTTCCTAAACATTTCAAATAAGGCCTAGAAAAGTGATGACTTGTGTAGCTCAGGCTCGATCAACAGCTGAGTTGATGTGATTCTGTATTCTGAGTCTGTCCTCCACTGTTACAGTGTTTCCTCCAAAGAGGACAGTAAATTTAAGTTGTCTGCTCTGCAAGATTTTAGAATAAAAACAACCAGGCTACCTGAATGATGAAACAAACATCTCTGCATTACACCTGAACTGGAAATGCAGCGATAATCCTGTCTTCATCTGTGGTGGAAATAGCCAAGTTGCACATGTTAAAATACTTCTGCTGAAAAGAAAATCAATACTGCTTCAAAAAAGAATGGCTATTTAATTCCATGCGCCAATTATTTTATTGCAGTCTCATCTAAAATAATCACGGATTAGTTCTGAAGTGTTGATGAATCTGTCTAATATTAGATATGGAGGTTGGCGGCCTGCATGTGGCAGGGGGGTTGGAGTTTGATGAACCTTGAGGTCCCTTCCAACCAAGCCATTCTATTCTGCAGGCTTCCCAATGTAGCTAAAATCATCAATGCTTTCAAGAGGGATCTAGAAGTGATAGAAAAATGGTAAAAGCAGTGAAATTACTGTTACTTTAGCACAGATTCACTGAAGTATCTGACAGCTGCTGCCAGAAGGGAGAATCTCTCTTTCTAGCCTTTCAAAGTTGAAAGGTTCCTATATATTTTTAAAGGCCAGAGTAAAATAAGATAACTGACAGTACCTTTAACTCCTCTCTTACCAGGTGTCTCAGATGATACGTAACTTCTGCTATCTTCCTCCAGCATCTGAACCATAGACTTGAGCAGTGGGATCACACTGTGATCGATGGCCTTGCATGTACTGTGTGAGATCCCACTACTGCCATAGTATCTGACTGTCTCATAGTTTTCAAAACAGTGCTGTGACCCACAGAAAAGCATCTGAAACATCACAAGACAATACATGTAACTTGTGTTTTATGCATGTTAAAAATCTCATTGGAAAAGCATCCTGGCATTCCTTGCCTTCTGGTGAAAACCTCAAATTGTTTGTTCAGACATCCCATGCAGATTGACTGGTGACTCAATAAGGTTCTACTAGGAGCCTGTCTCAGCAGCTTAAAGTCTTTTCCAGTGGTTACAGTCTTGGAGCACCCAACTCTGATTCTTCTACATCCTTCAAGCTGCTGTAAATGTTGTAAGACAAATGATTTGAACTGAATTTCTTGCATTTAATATCCTCAGCTTCTCCAGAATCCATTTGTAAGTGTAATACGTGTAATAAAAAGCTTTCTGTTCAACGTTCTGGTCTAATAATTCTATGTCAGTTATATTAATAAGCTGAAATTCAGTCAATGGTTATTGTCTCGTGGGGATGTAAGAGTAGAAGAGGAGGACAGAGAAAAGGGAAGACTGTTAATTTTATGCTTTTTAATGTAAAAAGACCAAAATGGAATATGGAATCCAGTTAATATGAAGAGCGGATTCTGAGTCTATTGACTTAATGGGAAGACTCTCTTGTCAAGAGGATGTAGGTCTACGATTCATGAGACATTACAGGTCAAAGGATGGGAGGTGAAAGGTCTCTTTAAGAGAAGGGAACTTGTGGGCTTTTCTAGTCAAGTGTATTTGAAAATCATTTTTGCACTCTCGGGGATTATTCTCAGAACATGGCAACTGTTCATGCTTTTGCTAGAAAGTAAGTAGCATGACTGCTTTTCATTTGCCTGAGAGTGAGGTCAGTACCTTTGCCTGCTGGGTTTGGATATCTGACAAGTCCCTCAAAAATTCCAGCTTAGTGTATGCTGTCTCCACGTTAGCTTGTTGTTTCAGCATGCATTCCTGAAATTCAGAGGCTAGAGCGAGTATAACCTGGAAGAAATGAGACAAATAAGAGTACGTCAAGTTCCAGCTTTCATTTTCTGTTGCATACTGTGGCTACAAAGCTAGTGTGACAGCTACATGGCACTGGTGTCTGGGCACTCATCACAGAAGTCACAAAACCTACAGCTGATGACAGGAAGGGCCAAAAACTCCACCCTAAAGGTAATAGTTCAAAAAAGGAGGATTCAAGAGAAACAGTGGAGGAAATAAATGGGACAGTGTGACCCCGGGGTGCAATATGTCTGTGCTACTCAAAGGTTAACAAGTCCTCTGACCCCAGGAACGTTCAGCCTAACCCAGCAGTGACCTCACCTGTCTGAGCATCACATTGGTTACTGTTTCTGTACTTGATGTGCATCCCCTCTGCTTCTCTCTCTGTGTAATCTGCACACATATTCTCTTTTCTTCTTCTTGTATCTTCTTAACAAACTGCATCAGTTTTTCCAGTGCCTTTCTGATCTCCAGCAGAACCTGTATTTCCTGTTCTTTTTCATCTCTGTCACCTGTAAGCAGCAAATATTAGCAGAAGTGCCCATCTGATAATGGAAATTCACAGAGCAAACCTGAAATACTATGCTTCCTAAATATGTTTCACCACACCTCTGCTCTTTATCTTTTAGAACAGCCCAAATAACCAGATCCTATGTCTTGCTTCATGGGGGCATGAGTAGTTTCTGAAGTTTAAGCTAACATGCTGGGAGGCAGCAAACATCACACACACTGCTTCCCCTCTTTTCTGTTTGTAGCTAACATTTTATACCTTTGAATAGTAAGGGTAATGCAGTGCCCAGCTGGCTGCTGAAATACTTTGAAGCTCTTCTCTCAGCTTCTTGCAGAGAGGACCCTTCAAGAAAATGACACATTTCCTCAATGTCTTTCACTTCTCCCCTGTATTTTATCTGTAAGAAATAGGAGAGGATTTCAAGATAGCATTGCAAACTTGTACAACAGTGACTTCTTGTGAAGCTCTTTCCTTTGACGGATGAAAGCAAGAGATTGTCTAATTTGAAGACAGATAACAGCTTTTTCCTAGCCTTTTTAAAAATTTTACTTTATTGTGCAGACCTTGAATGCAGTTCATCTGTTTCTGATACCACTAAGAATAGTTGTCCCTACTGTGTATAGACACATTCTGACTTTGAACCAGTGGTTGCTCTGTTATGAGACTACACAACAAATTTCTAAGGTGGGAAAGGCTGCAGTGAAGTAACAACACATCAATTCACATTTTGGATTTGCACCGTAGTGAGAAGGGAAGTAATGTGAATTCAGATTGGCACCATCCTGGGTGCAGCATCAGTAATCCTTCAATTGGATGCCTGTGGGCAATCCTTCATAGAGAACTTTACAGAAGCCAGCTGCAAAAACAATGCACATACCTTCTGTGCCTTTCCCTCTTTTGCAGCATCAAGGACATGAAGAAATAGAGAACTCAGTTCCTTAAGGAGCCCTTCTTCCTTTTTTATTCTGCAGTGCCAGTATATTTGCCTTGAATTTATTTCCTTCTCTAGGAGGTCCAGCTGAAATGCAGTGACAGAAAAAAATAGCTTACATTTGCAGGAAGGTGAAAGATTACAAACTTAATTGAACCTTACTTATGAAATCTTCATTCAGTGCTTTCAACAGCAGCACATACCCAAATTTGCTGTCACAGGGGGATTTGCAGTCCTGAATCTGTGCATGTTATAACTCCTGTTTGAAGTTATAATGCAATGTGTACTTTGGGATAGGACATAGAAGAGGAGGTATGAAGAGCAGCAGCAGAAGATACAGATAGAAAAGAGAGAAAAATGGATAATGAAAAGTAAAATGACATACATATACTTCAGTTCATCTTGTACTGTAAGAAAATATTATTTGTGGGGCATAGGAAGAGCTGAAATTGCCTAACAGCAGTGGAAAATCATGAGCAAAGAGTTTTCCAAAGTTATCAAACCTGCAGCAGAAATTACCAGCTCTGAATCCGTGGCTCTTGGTAAAGCTCTGAAGGACTGAACAACAGGAATTACGTTGTGTGTCTGGGGGTGGGTTTGAGCACCAATAACAGGTCCAATTTCACCTGTAATTGGACTTATGGTTCTGGCACCAATAGCGATAGGGACAAGGCCTGTGGGTAAAGAAAGATCAGATATAGTCCTTAGAATGCACATCATGAATACAACTGTTCCAGCCGCAACCTTAATGATCACATTTTTTTAAATGGCTGAAAGCTGCAGTGTGATTTGTCTCAGCCCTAGCTCCTATTCACCATTTTTCTGGCTCTGCTTGTTTTGAATGTCAGCACCATGCACACTGATATTTTCCATTCATTGCTGAGACATTAACTGATCTCCTCTGCTAGGATGATTTCTTGGCTCTGAAAGTAATATGAATAGAGGCGATGACAGAGAAGTCCTTTCCTCTTTACTGTTAAAATAATCAAATTCAATTTCCCATTCTACCTTTTCCATTTCCATCTTCCATGGTCCCTGCGAGTGGGGAAGGCTGCCTGTTATTCCAGTCAAAGTCTATTCCCAGAATTGGCACCATCAAACTGGACCCTCCGGGATCTGGGATTTTCATTCCAAACACTGCAGGGATCCACATCTCTGTGCCCGGATATTTGATCATACCTAGTTTGTTCCCCAGAAGAGAAGATGAGAAACATAAAATATTAGAATGACGTTTTGTGATGGAAAGATCTTCAGTAGCTGACAAAAGCAGGATGGATGCCATTACTTCTGCTTCACCTTCCAAATAATGTTGGCTGAGCTCATCATAGTATTCGTGGCTCGGGGTTGGAACTTGATGATCTTTGGGGTCCCTTCCAACCCACGCCACTCTATGAGTCTATGATTTGCTTAACAAAGGCTATTTTAACAAAAACCTTACAAAGGTTTTAACTACTAGTATTTTGGCCAAATCCTGTGATGGAAATGTGTTCATTACTGTAGCCATAATTGTAATGACACCCCTTTACTCTTTAAAACAGACTGTTGTACACCTACCCAGATTCCCACCATTACTCTTGACATTTGAGGCTATTTCTTGTTTTTTCTTGAGGCTTTTCAAGCAGTGCATTGCATGGTAAAATCTAGCAGTGAAAGACTTCTTCATATCTTCTACTGAAGCCTTTAGCACTGCCAATCTGTCTGCTGCTAGACAGGTATCTTCCAAAACTGATGCCTTAAGCTTCTTTAGAGCATCCACCACACGACTTTGGGATAGCAGCCACTCAGCTTCCAGCACTGCTTGGTAACTGCCACCGTGGGGCAGAACCTTGTCTTGCTGCAGGTGAGCTCCCTGTACTCGGGCAATTTTCCCACTCAGAGGCTCAATGAAGGAATCTCCAATAAGCATTAAGTTTCCAGAAGGATCCGTCAGCCCACCTAGAGGTATAACTTCTCCTGTAATTGTGAAACAGGAAATAAAGAGTCAGGACATCACCTGGTATCATCTGGCAGCTGGTCATGACAGTCTGGTATTTCCATTCAGAAAAAGGTACAAGAAAGCAGTAATAGATCTAATGAGATGGGGAAAAAATAAAGCAAAAACATTTGTAATGCTGATTACAAAATAATTTGCCCACAAAATGTTTTTAAATGAAATATCCTAGCTTCTACTTTAGAAGATGCTTTCAAAAAATCTAGAACTTCAGCCACCTCAGCCCCTAAGTTATGTATTTCTTACTGCTTTTCTTATTTTAACACAGCAACTGGACCACCTCTGGGTCAAATCACAGAATGTCAGGGATTGAAAGGGACCTCAAATAATGATCTAGTCCAAAACAACTTCAGTCTCTTGCGTCATAGCTGTATTCATTAATGTAGTACCTCAAATATCTCTCATAGTTTCAGCAGTTTTACTGACTTTTAAAGTGATAAAATACAACTACAGAAAAGAGAAGGTTTTCTTTCAGTAAAGACTAAGGCGTGGAGGTGTCCTGACAGGGCAAGGCAAAGGTGGAAAGTGAAAGTGACGGCTTTAGGCTCCCTCTGTTCCAGAGCCTGTAGTCAGTGAGTGAAGAGCAGGTTAAATGTACAGTGCATACCTCATTTACCAGTTCATGAAGAATTCACCTACCAGTGTTACCATCCAAACCAACCCCGAGGATTGGAACAATCTTGCCTCCCTCTGGCTCTGTCATAGGACCCCCGATCTCCAGCGGTGTCAGTGTGCTGGTGATGGGGTTGAGGTATGTCCCACCAACAGCCAGCTTTTGCCCAGTGTGAGGATGGATCGTAACCCCAAGCACTGGTACTTCTATTTCTGTCACTGGATCTGCCATGAGTCCTCCAAGACCAAATATTTTTTCAGGACACAGGACTGGAAGTTTTGTCTTCACAGGTAGGCCAGTGTCAGGACAAAGTGGGTAAGGAATGTAAGGAAATATGGGCACTTCAGGTTTCTGACGCTCACCTACATGTAAAACAAGAAGAAATCCAGCATGGTTATGCTAATGCTAAAGGCAAGGAGGCATTAGAGCTCAGAATAGAGTCTAAGGATCTTTCAGAGAGTGCTCATACTAAAGGCTTGCAATGTTTAGGCCTAGAGTTAAATGAATGACTGTAAGCCATCTATACCAGCTTTATGGTTGTTTTGTTGTTTGTTTGTCTTTAGGCTTAATTTGTACTTTGGCCTTTTCCTTAGAGTGAGGCATATAATGGTTTTTATGGTTTAAAGAGCAGACTGACAGAAATATATTGGAAATAAATACTTCAATAGTTTACTGTATATAAGCCTTGTAACATCTAATACTTCTTACTCACATTGAGTCTTGTATTTAGATGAAGAAAAATATCTTCCAGCACGATGCTACTGAGAAGTCTTCTCAGATTTTCTTTAGTTTTAGATTTTGTTAAGGTTAAAATATATGCAAGTATACCAAGGTGTTTCGTGTTGGCTTTTTTCTTTCTTTTACACCACTAAAACTGTATTCCACAAATAAGCAATTGAACCAATTGATTATTTCATAGTAACTCTTACCTGAAGCAGAATCAACAGTACAGACCAGCCCAGATCTGATGGGATCATAACCAACGTTGCCCGCTATGTGAAGCACCTTCCCAGTGCCTGGATGCAGGAAATGGTTGCTTGGTACTGGCCCAGAGCACTGGCTGCTCAGCAGCATGGCACAGTGTGGGCTGGGAATTAACAGCCCAGTGACAGGATCCACAGAGATAACATCAGGTGCTCGGGCACTGCCCTTTGGGTCTAAAAACAATGCAAAAATAGGAGAGGAAGAAAACAGCAGCCTGTTACCCTCTCAGAAATCCAGTCTTTTTGAGAAACAGTGCAGAAGAAAGTTCTACTGATTACTTTGCTTTTGGAGCAACCCCTTATTTCATGAGTTGTTAGTGAGAACTCAATGAGGACACTTTCTTCAAAGAACATCTCTCTTCACTTTGCTATTGGTGCTTTTGTCACCTATTTATTAAAGCATCAAGAGGAGCAGATGTGCACCTTCCTGACTACACTTCCTTACATTCTAGCATCATTTTGAAAAGAATTTCTAGAGGTTGTAGTTACCCACAAGCTCCTGTTTGGTAAGGATCCTGGTTTTATCTTTGTTAAGAAGGTGAGCTCCTGTTCCTTCACCCAGCACTCCCCATGCTTTCAGGCGGTGGCTCTCTGTTATTATTAAGCTTGACATCCTGTTGCTTGCAGCATCTATCTGGGCTAACAGGCTGGAATTTAAAAGGTGGTTACTTGCCACATGAAGTTAAGATAAAATAATTTCAAGGGAGCAGTACAGGAAGAGCTTGGAAGGACATGCAAATGATCTCTGCACTTTGGAACCTGAAGATCTCTATGAGTATTTGCTTTGGCTACTGCATTAAAAATACCAATTTCTCTTTTTTTCTGTTTTCTCCTTAATCACAGAATTCTGATTCTGAACATTCAAAGTCCTGACAGAGCATGGTTTGTACACTGACCTTAACTGGCATAATACCACAATAGAAAGCATTTGGCAGTGAAAGAAAACACTCTCAGAAGATTGTTGTCCCTTAGATTCAGATGGGGGTCTCTTCACTATATGGCTCTGTGTGAGATTTAAAACAGCTGTTCATAATCTCTATTAGATTATCTCTTCTTAATACAAGCCAACACAATCACCTGCCACAAATCCTTCCAGCTAGGAAATACAAAGTTGTAGCAGAAGGTTTCAGTACGTTTATTACCTTTTACAGTCTGGCTGGGACCAAGTGGTTGGGCTTCTTTTACAAGCCATCTTATTTGTCAGCATCTCTGCCAACCTCACTGCCTCTCGCAGGGCAGAATTGAACGTGACATAATGCTCTTCCTGGCATTTCAGATCATGCTGCAGTAACTGCATCTGTTTGTTCACACATTCCTCATATTCTGCAGCCAACTGCTTCCTGTGCTGCATTTCTTCTTCTGCCTAGGTGGGATATAAGATCCAAACACGTCTTCTCTTGCTTTATCTAAATGTAAGCAGAAATTCTAACTTTTCTGCCTTTTATTAAAGTAACAAAAATCAGAAATTACAAATAATTTTGATCTATTCATTTGAATTGGAGGACATCTATGCTAATAACTCTAATATGCTGAACTGCAATTATCCAGCACATAGGTGATAAGTATCCAGATCTGAATAATAATAACTTAAGATATCCTTTTAACAAGCGATGCAGAACTTCTAGGAGTCACATAATAAAGGTGACTTTTATAACTACTTACTGTGTAGCATACACATTTTTCCAAGTGAAACAGTGAGTGTGTATCTGCTTGTAAGGCACAAAATCATTTCATTCTAAGAACTTTTGTAAGAATGTAAACAAACAAAAGTGGAAAAAAGATGTTATGCATGCTAATGCAAACCAATGTGTGCTGTTCTCAAAGCAGAAAGCTCTGCTACTAAAGAGACTCCAAAAGAGCTGAGATGTATGGGTCCATCAGACAGATCAAGAAAACAAAATAAGTGAACAATCTTTCAGAGATGTTTCTGTGTTAGCATGAGGCAGTAGCACCAAATTCAAAAGACTTAAAAGGTCCAGCACAGCCTGTTGTTTGCAGTTGTAAACTGCTTTGCAGACTATGACGTATGAAATGTTTACAATTACAAAAGTGATGTTCTAAATGACCATACCCACATTTATGAAAAGAGAGTGCTGCAGATGTCATTTGCTATTCCACGTGTTAATGGTGCTGAGCTGAGCTCTACCTGCTGTTTTGCTTTTAAGTAATTCTCCATCGTTGTGCTCTCATAAGACTCTATCTCTTCTGGGATATTTAGTGTCATGATCCAAAGGCTTTTCAGTGCAGATATTTCACTTGTAAGCTTGTGATAAAATGTTTTCACCTAAGGCAAAAAAAAGAAAAAAACAAAAAGAAGAAGAAGAAAATAGGACTGTAAGAGATAATATGAAGGCAGTAAGTTTTCTCTATAACATCGGTGCCTTTTTATGTAACAAAAGTACATGGCAGCCCCTGAGTCCTCAATACAAACCATTTTCATGATAGCATTCCTGAGATTATGGCACAACGATCTCTCCATGCTAACTGCACGCTGCAATGCAGCTCCCTCTGCTGTCCCTTAAGCCAAACATGCAGTTAGATGAGTGTTCCAGACAGATCCATCATAGTTACTGTAGGTCAGTGAAATGCTATCCCACTGATTTCAACTATTATGAAATTCAAATAACAGAGCGAGACTCCATTTCTGTGTCACCACATATTCATTTATATTTACTTCTCCTCAATTTAATCTACGGTTCTCAGATGTTTGACCAGGTAATCTGTATTACTTTTATTTTCCAGATGAAAAATTGGGGCTGGGAAATGAAGTCCTTTTCCAAAAATGTGCAGAGCAGATTCATAAGAAAATCAGAATGTTCTGCCTTAAGGTCACTGTGCTTCACACTATATGACATGGTATAAACAACATGTTTAAGAACATGGATACATGTCAGTGTTTCAAATTCTAAAAGCATTGAAGTTGAAAGAAAGTACATACAAAATAGATAATAGGAAACAGCAATGTTACTTGTTTCAGACTCTTTCTGCATAAATGAGTAAGCCCCCAAACACACTTTACCTCTTCTTTGAAATGGCCCAGTTTGGCTGTGACTGACTGTGACTGCCTCAGCAAAAGTTCGAAGAAAACGTTGGTGTTAAACAACTCAAGGTCTATCTGTACTTCAGGTTCCCAAACACCACCCTTTTTCATGGAGCAGGCTGAAACACGAATATTCATTTATTAGTGTTTTTCACTCCATGACTGTTTTCTTTATGCAAATCAATAAATCTGGGCCACTGCACATTGCTAGACATGGGATCCTGGCTCCATATATATAAGAAACCAGGCAGCTCCACTGTTATTTAGCTTTTTGTTATCTGACCTGTTCCACCAGTGTTGCAAGAGTCAGCATCCATGCTACCCTTGTTCTGCAGCCAGGGGTGATACTTTCTGATGGGAAAGACTGTTGGTACATTGGAGGAATATCTGTCCAGATTGTATTTCAGCTGCTGCCTTCGAAATGGAGGGCAGGCAGTGTCCTTCTGTGACCAGCTAAGTCCCTGACAAAGAAGCTGCAAGACACAACAAAAATGAACACATAAATTCCTTTTCTCACTGTGACAAGTTGTATTTTGTGATTCATGTGTTAGTCACTCAACAAGCAGGATGCACCATTACTTCTGCCATTAGGCAAAGACCCTGAGAGTCTGTTTTCTAAGTACCTCGGTAGGGTGGTCTGTTCTAAGGCAGAATTACTAATCTTAGCAGATGAGGCTGAAACCAAGGGGAAGGAAGTACAGTTATATGTTGTTTGATGATGGATGAATAAATCCCATCTTCTACCACAGTCTGAAGGACCATTTCATTTGTTGTGAAGCTCTGATCTCAGGTATGTTGCGCTCACAGGGACTTCTGTCTGAACAATTAGTGAACTGCAAGCCACATGAATGAGCACTGCAGAAACTCATCAGCAGTTGACAGTTCTTTATAAGAACTTTACAGGACTTAATTATGGCTTCTTTATTTTGAGACAAGTTTGTGCTTATGTTAAAAAAAAATAATTGTCATCTCATCCGTCCTTCCTGAAGAGATGCATATCATGGAGAATTTCATTATGTGATCACATCTAATGAACCAGAGAATAGAAATGAAATTCACCTGTACCTTAAGTGTCTCCAAGTGGTCTATGCATCAGGTAAATGTCCTGGGGTGTCAGTGGGGCTGGATAAATTCAGAGGGATGATTTTAACCCATATATAAAACATAAGGATGTGCCAAAATTTTCAGTTTTAGAGGGGATGCCTGAGGAAACAGGTGGCTAGTGGGTTCATTGCACAAAATCTTTCAAGAAGAGACTTAATGTAACTGTTACTTACTGTCAACACCACACAGGTAATAAGCAATGTGAGAAGTCCCGTGATCACTCCAATAATGGTTGTCCAGTCAGGTTTCAGTAGGAGGTCTTGCTTTCTGGCAATGCCCACCTGCACAGCATATCTGGGAGTTGTGGGGAAGAATGGCCCCTCTTCATAACATTGTCCTCCAAGTGGCATGACCCTAATGTACTTAGTGAACATAAGTAGAAATGCCAGTCACTGTCACTGCAAATTATTTAAGTATACATAGTGATTTAAATCTGAAGTGTTATTTTGGCTATGACACTGAGTCAAACTTTTGCAGCAGTTGTACCATTTTGCACTCATATGTAATGCTTGTGCACAAAAACACCTGCATTTGTTGCTGTACTCACCTCTGCAGTATGGCATGTAAAAATGAAAAGATGCTCAGTGATAGATTTACTATTTCCTTTCAATTCCAAACCATAATTTGGAGCATTTAAATGCTTTGCTAAGAAGGATATTGTAAATGCAAAGACAGCATTCCTCAATACAAACCATTTTTTTGTGCTGATTGCTGCTCAGCTGTAACACATAGGTACCAGGGTGCTGGAACTGGAAAAGGAAGAAGAGGAAGGTTTGGGAAACAGCTCTTATTTCCTCTGCAAGTCTTCGAAAGTCCCCCCAGTCAAAGTCGGTGTTTGTGTTGTACAAGTTGTTCCTAGAAGCAAAAGTACAAGAGTCTGTTCTTGTCACTGGATTGTGTGTGTGTGTGTCTGTGTGTGTGTACATGTAGGTTTATTTATTGAGCTCTGGTTGCTGCTTAGGATTCATCTACACCACTAAATACCCGAGGATTAGCTAGAGTGCTGAACATCTAATTGTCCACACAGTGGCACTGTGTTTGAGGCTGTTCCAACAAGCTCTCCCCAGACTGGTGTATGTAATGTAATGCAGCAGGAATTAACCCTAAGAAGAATAGATATTTAGAACTGAATAGCCACTAGGACCCTTTTTAAGTGTTTCAACACCAGAGATGCCAACATGGAACCCACACATAAAGTGCTGTAATTCATTACCTGTCCCTTCTGTTACTTCTTTGCTTTCAAGGTGGATGGATGCCAGAAATGAAATGAAAACAGGCCACAGGGGAAGAAATCTCCAGAACTGCCCACAGAAACAAAAGCAGCAAAGGCAGAGTTCCTAAGGTTTGCAGTGCACTAGAATGTGCTTGTTCCTATTTGGATGAGTTTACCAAAACCTAAACCTTAGCTCAATCGTTACAGAAAGGGAAAAGAAATTAGGATGAATGAGAGGGAATATAAAACATAAGCCAGTGAGAAGTCAACTTGCAAAAGTATTAAGACAGGTCTGCCTTTTAGTGCGTCAGAAGTAGCACCAGCAGGGGAACAGGAACAGCATGGATATATTTGGTTTTGCTTATTTTAACGACAGAATATTGTTTTCCTGATGTCTTACACGTCATTTCCAAATACACGATGTCTTTTCTGTCAAAAAGACATTGAAGCACACTTGATAATGAGATTTCTACTCTTCCTAGTCATGTTTCCTCTGAATTCTACGTTGAGAAAAGTGAAGACTTCAGCCATCTTCTCTGTAGCTCATCTAAAAATGCATTAGTTAAGTTCTACATTGTACTTACACATCATAAACTGGGTAATGCTCCTTGGAGACGATGAACACAATGGTAACGTTAGCACTGATGCATGTGGTAGGATTTAAGATGCCACTAAATATGATTTTTGATGTGGAGGTTGAAGGTCTCAGGCTTTGTATGAGGGAAGATCTGGGTTCTTCATGGTCAGAATTAACTGTAAAAGCACAGGTTTGGATCATTATGTTTGGATCATTACCAATGATTTTCCATCTACAGAACTGCTGCAGGATACACTATTTCCTATTTGCTTTTATGACTAAGCTTTACAGACACAAATCTGGCTTCCAGAGTAAGGCATACTGTCAAGACAACAATGCCACTGACATCTTCCTGACATTGGATAATTTTGCACCACATTTTATATCTTTTTTGCAACGGCTCTGCTGAAGCACATTTGGTAAAGAAGCAGAATTTAAGGAATCCATCCCCTTGTATGGCTTGGCTATGGATTTGAGGATAACTCTGAAGGCACAGAGGAACTAAAGCCCTGCTCTCCAAGAAGAATGCAAGTAGAACTAATGAGAAAGCAATATGAAATGCCAAAAGTTATGCAGATGATGGTGTAAATCAGAATTGCAGAATGAACCAAAAGAGAGGATCAAACCAAAGGAGAGATGTGAGAGGAATGGAAGAGAGCTCAGCCCTGACATTTCCTCCTGGGCTCTACCCTCCCTGCAGACCTGAGGACATGGTGGCAGTGAGGGGGCCACGTGCCAGCTCTGTGCACACAGATGGAGGCATCCAGCTACAACCTGGCTGTTCCTCATCACCCCTGGGGAAGAGGCAGGGGCCAGGAGGATGTAACTGCTGGCTCATGGGCTTGGGCTGCAAAGCAAGAGGCTCTGATGTGCAGCGCAGGGAAGTCAGCTTTTTCTTTCACTTCACTATGCTTAGTGTGAAAAGGTTTTCTGGCTATTTGAAGATGGTAAGGTCTGTTGGTTTCTATTTCCTATTTAGTTTGGTACTAGAGATGGTTGAAGCACAATTAAACCTTAGTGAAACTGTATTTAAATATATGCTTTGTAGCCAAATGTGAGAACTTACCTGGAGCTGTTGGGGAGGAAGACCTGTTTTTGTGAAGTGATGAAGCCTTGTTCAGCATGATGAAGTTATGAAACAGCTGTGGGTCAGGATTATACACTCCTAAAAATCCTCTCCCTAAAGCAATATAAAAAATATCAATTACTTCTGGTTTTCAACCAGCTGGACTTTAGTTTTTCTTCTAGTTTATAAAGTATCAGTTCACAAACTCCACAAGTTAAGCTTACAAAGCCTCAAACCAGGTTACATGTTTTTCAGTTCATTTCTCTTATTCTAGGGCAGTGCTTTAAAACACTTGGGCCTTATCCAAAGGCTTTAGGGTTTGTTTGGTGTTGCAAGACCTGTTCCTTAAGCAGCAACTGGTTTAACTTGGCTGTAGTCAATGAAACTGTGTCAAGGTACCGTAGAGAAATGATTGCATCCTATTGTTCTTATTAAATTTTCATGCAGTTGTATAAAAAGTTGTACAAAAAGCTTTTGGCTCACAGCTTGATTCTAGAATATTTTAAAAAAGAATGTTTAACTCCTTCTAATTCTACTTGATAAATTCATATTAAAATGTGAAGCCCAAAAGAAAATCTATACAGATAAAGGATTGTGAGAAGAAGCCCTCTGACATACATCTCTTTTTAGAAAGTGAGAGTGGGACGGAATCTCTGATTATCTGTCCATTCCTGGAATACTGGAAATGTATAGAATTCAGATCAGTGTTTTAGGACTGAGTAGTGACTTAGCATAACTTCATCCTGCCAGGATGTAAGAATCAAAATTTCTTGTTGTTTGTGTTAAAGACAAGAAGGAAAGGCCAGTAATTTATAAAAGCCATTTAATACCTATCTCTCTCTCTATATATTTAATACCTATTTAATAATATACCCTCTAAACCCACTTTTGTTATCCTTTTCCTTACCACTTGCTTTCACGATGTATGCTGGATGAAAGTATTTGCTTTGTTCTGAAGTGCAGACATCTTTTAAAGGGAAATATGATCCTAGTAGAACTGTTCGTAATTCTTCTAAGAGAATGGCAGCCTAATAGAAAAAGAACTCAGAAAATATATGTGAGTTTTTCACACTGTTGCAATGCAAGGCCAAGTATAAAAAATATGCTGTATATAACAGACTAGTGCCTGAGGTTTTTGTTTGTTGCTTTTTGTACTTCTCTAAGGAAATAATAAAATAAAAAAACCATGATGTTATTTGATAAAATAATTACTCAAAGTTTAAAAGTTTAGCAAAAAATAGGTAGATCTTGAAAATAACAGTAGCTTTTACCTTGCTTCCATTTCTGTAAGTGATAAAAAGCTGAGGGTTTTCCTCTGCACAGGCGATTTGCAGGGTTTCTCTTTGTTGCCTCCTACACTGAGAATCACAGATGTTCTCCAAACGGTCAGTTTGACAGATGCAGAGGCCAAGAACCTTGTCATAGCCTTGATAATCCCTGGGAATAGTACAAACCTGCAGGAGAAAAAAAAGGAATAAAAAAAGACAAATAATGACCCATCCTCCTTATGCGAGGATGGAAATCTGGGCTTACTGCTAGGCTTCTTATTTCAGTTTGAAGAAGAGTTAAAACGTCCCGTGAAAATGCTAATAATGCTTGGTTTTCATGCTGCCTGTACCTAGCAAAGGAAGAGCTAGGCAGTTGGCTTTTAGGGCAATATTTGCATGGATCTTGGATTTGACTGATGGAAAAACACTACACCTTTTCTGAGCAATAGTGAGTCCATTCCTTCTTGGTCAGACACCGTCCTTCCTGATTTCGGGAGGCTGAATCTCGACAGATATCATATGTTCTTCTGACACAATGTCTTCTGCCACTCACAGAGCTCTGATAACCCAGAGGGCACGTGCAGTGAGCATCACGAGCCTGGAAGAAAAAAACAGGAATTCATTTAGAAACCTGCAGCCTCGTGAAGTTATTGTTATGCACCTTGCTACATTAAGCATCAGGCCTTATTTGGCTGAGATCAGAGGAAACCTGAGAGTCCATTCACACCATCTTTACCACAAATAGAGCCCTGAAACTCAGAACGCCTGTAGATCTGCTATGTTACGTTTAGCCTGGTGAATGTATGTAAATTGAGATGATATGCAGGACTGCAGATGCCAGTGTGAGAGAGGTATCCTGCCCTAGGGCAGCACATTTGAAGTAAAGAATAAAGACCAAAGTCTGAAGCAATGGTAATCTCCATTAAGACTGAACAGCTGCTACAGAACTGTCCCTGTACCTGAAAAACCTGGCCTTTCCCAAGACATATGCATGTTTCTTGTCCTTCTGCGGGCTGTGCTGCCTCTGAGCCGCATGGGAGACATGCTTTTTGACCAGGCATGGGGTTAAAGAAATCCACTGGACAAGCCAAGCAGCTGTGTGCTGTCAGTGCTGCTCCTTCGGAACGGAAAGTGCCTCGGGGACATGGAACTGGTGAGGTGCTTCCTTCAGGGCAGAAGAAGCCTGTGAACAACAAAACCAAAAAGATATCATCATTTTTTCTTGTATAATGCGGCTTTATTATGTTCATTAGATAGAGTTAATGCCTCTACAGTTTAAATAAAGTGTGTTTTTAAATTTATTTTAAAACATCACAATCAGTAAAATGAACCATGCCTCATTTAAAAATACTGCCTGGTTTCAGTGCTGCTTTTTTAATGCAGTACAAAAAGGAAGTCCTCAGATATGTGAATCTTATAATAATATTGAATGCTCTATAGTAGCTGATTAAGCCTACTTCCTTTTATTATATTAATTGCTGCAAGACTAATTCATTATCTAAGGGCCTCTAACATTCAACACAATCAATGTCTGGCTACATTTGTTGTTGAGCTGTATGTGACAGAAAAGCGTTCTAAAGAAGCTAATGATCTCTGGTATATTATCCCCAAATACCTGCTGGACAGTTTGTCAGATTCTGTTTTCTTCTGCAGTGAACTCCACTTTGACAGTCCTTGTGGTGTGGAAGTTGCAGCTCCCCATGGTCACAAGCAAAGCTCAAAAAAATGGTCAAAATGAAGAAGAGGGCCATCCATGTATTACACCTACTAGCATGAAGTCTCAGATGAGAATGACAAAGGCACAAGGAGAGCTTTCTTTTCAGACACTGAATATTTAATGGTGGGTGTAAGCTGAAACATATTAAAGTTTGGTGTAAAATATTCATGGTAGCTACTTGAGCCTATCATATTCCCCTACAGGTCGTGTAACAGAAACTGTTCTCAGACCAACATAAAGACACTGCATATGAAATACAACTTTTGCAGCATAGATAAGTGCTTATCTATGGTTACAAACAATTTGTTACTGTACTTTGTAATCTGAACTTTTCAGGGTTCCCATAACAGCCTTGATTTTTCCAAGACTATGCATCTTCATTTACCATAAGGAATCATGAATATGTGTGATATGCTTATTCTATCTTTGGAAAGGCTGCATAATTTATGATGAGCACAAAGCAAAAACCCTGCTGAGCAATCTGTGTCTTTTTCAGTGTTCAATATAGAAAAAAAGTAATTATTTGTGGTTATTTTGTCCTGTTTTTCAAGATCTGTGACAGATTTTAGTACACAGTTCAAGGATCTTGTTTTGAACACCTCCTTTTCCTTTCTTCATAGGGATTTTAAATGTTGCAACAGCAGCCAGTGGCTCACCCTGTTGAAATCTGTGTAAATGGAATCTGCTGTATCTTAGACTGATGGGTGCTTAGATGCTTCTGAAACCTTTGCCCTTGTGATATAAAAGACAGCTGTCCCAGCCTGCATGTGTCATGAAGGAGGCATTGTGCACATAGCAGAGACCTCTGTTTCCTTGTGAAATATCTAACCAAACATGCAAAAGCACTTAAGGATAACACTCCCCATTTCTCTCCTCTGCTTGTACTGTTAGTGGCATTATTTAACACATGTTTCTTAAAAGTATTTCCAGTAAATATTAATTCAAAGAGTTGGGTGGACTTCTTAGAGGTGCAATAAAAAAGTGGTTTCCAGATATATTTTGTACAGCAGTCATTACTGCACTGGATCATCAGCCTGGAAAAACAGCAGTGGAAAGGGAGGGCGTTCAGGGAGAGATCAGAGTGGCCTGGGTTAGAAAGGACCTTAAAGATCATTCAGTTCCAAGCTCTGCTGTGGGTTGGCTGCCAACCACCAGCTCAAGTTGCCCAGGACTCCATCCAGCCTAGTCATGGGCAATTCCAGGGATGGGGCACCCACAGCTTCTCCGAGCAGCCTGCACCAGTGCCTCATCGCCCTCTGAGGAAAGAATTTCCCCTTGATACCTGACCTAAATCTCCCCTCTTTTAGTTTAAAGCCATTCCTCCTTGTTCTATCAATATCAGAATGAGTAAAAAGTTGCTCTCTTCCTGTTCATAAGCTCCCCTCAGGTACTGGAAGGCCACAGTGAGGTCTGCCTTGAACATTCTCTTCTCCAGGCTGCAGAAGTCCATCTCCCTCAGCCCTTGCTTAGATGGGAGGTCTCAGCTAACCAAGACCTGAAGTGAGCAGAAGCTGCAGCACCTGCTTCCTTATGGACAAGTTAATACAGGGAACTTAAGGCAGGGCTGTCCCAGTCCGGGAGCCAGTTGGAGCCCTAAAGGCATACAGACTGCTGCTGGTTTCCTCTGGGCCTCACAGGGCCACTTCCAAAGTGACTCTGGTGTTATATGGAAACCCACACACACAAAAACACAAACCATTCACTGTCAGCCCACCAGAGCCCCACAAGATGCTGCACAACTCCAGGCTCCGTGGCAGGAGTACCTCCTAAATTAACTGTGCTGTGCTGCCAAGCTTACTGTACTGCATCTCCTCATCAATTCTAAATAAAAGGCAACCATCCCAGAGCATTATTCAAGAAATTAACCACGCCATGATGCTAACCATGGGCTGTGCTCTTGTCAACAGCCGTACGGCACCTTTTGGCCCCTGAACTACTTCAGACTGCGGTTCTTTGTGGAATTACCAGAGCAGGCCCAGGCCTCCCACCCTCCACACTGGGCCGCCCCAGCAGCGCCGCACTGCCCCCTCCGCGCCTCGTCTGCTCTGGAGGAGTGGATTGGCTGCTGCGCAGGCGCACTACGCGCAGCCATACCCTCAAGTCCTCCAGGGCAGACGAGGCGCAGGATAGAGCAGAGCAGAGAGGCTGCACGCAGGCGGACGCCTTCCGGCCCCGGTGGGATCGCTTCCGGCTGTGCCTGTGGGGTTCGGCCCTGAGGTTCTCCCGCAGGCCCTGAGCGTCCCCTGACCCGCAGCGTGGTGTGCTACAGAGTAGCGGAACTGTGACTTTTAATTCCACGTCGGACGGCTTAGGAAATGCCGTTGGAGGTCCCCTACAAGCGGCCTGCACGCGGCATTAGGCACCAACGGTGACCCTGCTGGAGCAGTGTGGGACAAAAGGGACCCGGAGCTCCTGGAGGGAGCTGCTCGGACTGCGTCTGAATTGTGCACCGTGTGGGTTGCCGCAGCTTGTTGAATTTGCTGTCTGATTTTACAGTGAAAGGATCAGTTGGTATTCACTTGTTTACACACAGTATAAAAATACACACAGCCTTTATGTGCGGTGTGCCTAGCAAACATTGTGCTTTACAGCAGAATGTGCAATAGAACATCCACTCAAGTATTTTGGTTCTTAAAATGGCCCCATCTGCAGTACTGCGTCCAGGTCTGGAGCCCCCAGTACAGGAAAGACAGGGAGCTGTTGGACAGGGTCCAGAGGAGGCCACAAATCTGATCAGGGGCTGCAGCAACTCCCCTACAACAACAGGCTGAGGGAGCTGGGCTTGTTCAGCCTGGAGAGAAGAAGGCTGTGGGGTGAGCTCACTGCAGCCTTTCAGTACCTAAAGAAAGCCTACAAACAGGAGGGAAATCAACTCTTTGAAAGGGTAGAGAACAGCAGGACAAGGGGAAATGGTTTGAAGTTGAGGGAGGGAAGATTTTAGTTGGATGTCAGGGGGAAGTTCTTTACAGAGAGAGTGGTGAGGTGCTGGAACAGCTGCCCAGAGAGTCTGTGGATGCAGCGTCCATCCATGGAGGTGTTCAGGGCCAGACTGGATGGGGCCCTGGGCAGCCTGGGCTGGTATGAAATGTGGAGGTTGGTGGCCCTGCCTGTGGCAGGGGGGTAGGAGCTTCACGATCCTTGAGGTGCCTTCCAACCCTGGCCATTCTGTGATTCTTAGATTTAACTGGAATCTGAGCTGAGATCACAGTCCTGAGTGTTTCTGCCCTGTGGCTGCCTGGTGCTGGGGGTGCCCAAGCTCACCTTGTTGGAGTCTGCATTCCCCAGGCACCCAGCTCTGTCTCTGAGCATGCCTGGAGCTGCCCCATTGGAGAAATCTGTGCGTAGGTCCTGCCCAAAGCAGACTGGAATGCAGGAACTAGCTTTGCTGCTGCCTATTCTGTCCCCTGCAGGGCTTTACTTGGTGCTTAGTCACAGAGCACACCCAGTAAGTTCTGGTACTTGCCAAATAAAACAGAACTATTTTGTTGTCTTCTCCTTTCTTTTGTTTTTCCCCAATATCTCTTACCTCGCAATGCCTTGCTGCCAGTCAGTATCTGTGAGCAGGAGAGAAAAAGAGGGAGTGGAGAAGAATAACTGCTTAACCTCATTACTCTGTTCAGCTGAAGCTGCCAACATACTCTAAATAAAGCAATTAATAGTTCTGTGGTTAAGTGTTCAACTCCTTCCTTTCAACAGTTCTTCTATATTTCAACCAGCTTCTTTGTAGTTGTGGATTCCATTGTAAATCTCAGAGTTCTGGTGCTAGAATATTCTCCAGGGAAGTATTTCCCATGGGTTGGAGAGGGTTCCCATCAGACAGAGCACAGATAGAGCTCAGCTGTGGGAATGCAGTGTGTGTGGAATGAGGAAACAGCACCAGTCTCCCCAAGACATCAGGTCTCATAGGCAAGGAGCACAAGAAGTTAGCAGCTTTCCTTCACACAGGACTGATTTTATTTATTTGACTGCTCCATGCTGTAGAAGCCTATGTTAAGTGGTGATGGGTCTGGAGTAAGGAAATGACTTGCAAAGCTTTTTCCCTGTGAAATTTTAGGTTAAAGATTGCTGCTGTTCTTAGCAGATATACAACTTCCTTTTTCCACAGAACGGATACGCAGTGTTGCTCTGTATGTCAAGTTGTCATTTGCCTGGCAGAGACTGGAGTTGAACATCCCCATAAAATGTTTCGTGACTGTAATCAAGGGCAAGAATAACTGGAGCCTGAGTCATCTGCAAAGCCCTGCCTGACGTGGTGACAGAGGCAGGTAACTTCTAGTTGTTATTTAACTTTTCAGTCCAGCAAAAGGGCACCAAAAAAAAGGGAGAGACCAAGTGCAACAAACTCCTTGTTTTCCCTTTAATTTTTGAAAAAAGATAGAAAAAAAACCGAGCAGGCTATTTTGTGAATAGTGTCGAAAAGCAGCATATTATTGAAGATAGAAAGTGGAGGTTTCACACCTTCTCAAATATTGACTGAAGAGACTGAAGTGTTCTTATCTGATATGGGAGTGAAAGCATCGCTAGTGAACAAAACAGGTGTTGGATATTTTGTGGGTTTTGTTGTTGTTCTTAGTTTGTTTGTTTTAAGATCATGTAATTATTTTGGTTAGGAGTGTTATTTTTTCCTTGTAGAACATAACCACTGGTGTTTGCAGTGTGTGGAAGATCCACATTACAAACAGGACGTGATGCTTTACTGGTTTTCTTTCTGGTCAGCGGGGTTTGAGGATTGATTGTTATTTTAATGACATGCCATCTGAACTAAGAGGCACTGAAAATTCTTAATGCACAAAGCAATCCAGACCAGCAACATTTTCATCTTTTTTCCCCCTAAACTCGAATGAGGGTTTTCTAAATGAAGGAAATGTGTTCCCACAGACACAAGTGGCATATATTCTTCTGCAAATATTTGATCAACCAACTCCATAGTTGTACCACGTTATTGTCAGCATAAGCATTATTCTCCAGGTAATGCTCTCTGTGGCCTCTGATTCTGCCAAAGAAGGCCTTTAGATACCTGTAGATAATGTTTCATTTACAGTTGTATGGACTTTCTTAAGAAAAGATTAAGCAAAAGCTGAAATACTTTTAAAACCTTCCAGTGAAAGGCTGGGCTTTCACAAATGTACCCTGGGACAAAGCCAAGGTTCTCGATGGCTTTACCCCTGAGTGACTCTTGGAAGATGGCTGCTCTCAGAACTGCAGCTTTCCTCGAGCAGCTCCATGTAGCTGCAGGCTGAGGACGTTAGGGCAGGCAGATATTTGGGGTGGTCCCTTTCAGTTTCCCAGCTGGCTGAATTGGGAGAGGAGGGTAAAGTTAATGTCCTTCCCTTTGGAGGAGAAGATCTTGCTTTGCAATGCAGTGTGTGTTGTCCCCTTGTGTGTACTGTGGTTGTGCTGTTGGTTTATATATGTATTTCTAGAATGCCCCTTATCCTGCAAAAGAGGAAGGAATCTTTTTCTGTAGAAAATACAACCATGTGACAGCGTAACCTGGAGTTTCTCAGGGCAATTTGTCATCATCGTAGAAACAACACCCATTAAATTGCAGTGGTGAAAGTGACCAAACAAATACAAGATTCTTATGCATATACCTTCCTCTTTCTCTGGCCTTCCTGATTTATTTCTCCCTGTTCCTCAACATTTACCACTATTCTAATTCATTCCTTCTGGGGAATCAAATGAATGTGAGGTTTCTGGCACTTGGGACTCAACTGCTGTGCTGGAAAACAAAGCACCTAAAGGCTGTTTATTTTGAGATATTCCTGAATTATTAATTCAAGTAAATGAGTGCACATTTTTTCAGGTCCCAGGGACAATGCAGACTAGAAGCTGTGCTTTTAGTGTTTTTTTAGTTTTTAGTCATACATACATATATATATATATATTTGCAACTGCAATGTTAAAACCCTGCAGGACATAAATCAGTGCCTTTGTAACTGAGCTCTGTTTCTGGATGAGGAGATGGGCTACAGTGGAATGTATGGAACACAGTGGGGCTTAGCTTTGGTTTCCTCAGGGATTTAAAAACCAAAGCTCCATTTCATTGTAAGAGAATGTAGCTGCTACTTTTGTATGACAACATTATGCTACTGGAAATAGCTTACTGTGAACAAATAAAATGGAAATCCATTATTAAGGTGACCTCCATAACGTACATAAATACCATCAGGATGGACTCCAGCAGTGAACATGCGTCATGTGAGCAAATAAACCCGTTGGCTGCAAATAACAAGGACTGCTGGGTTCTGCAGAAGCTTATCTTGTCTTATATCAGAAAAGAGATTGCCTTTGTGTGTGAGTAATGATTCCAGTGAAATTGAAAGGCCGTTTTATCTAGGAGTCGAAACATGCACACCTGGAATGTTACAAAATAAAATCAGAAGCTGAAAAACTGTTTAGATTCATAGCAAAATAATGTATGTTTCTAGCATTTCCTACAGCTTTTCTCCTGCTGAATTGAAATGTGATTTCATGGCAGCACTCTACACATACCTCTTGGTCCCGTGCTGTGGAGGAGTTGTGTGGGATGGAGAGAATGAGATGCAGAAAAGCCTGGTGAGGATGATGGGAGCTGAAGTTGGAGGGGGCTGTACTTGCAGACAGTGACATGCCCTGTTAAGCCTCAGTGTTGGTGAGGATGGAATTTGTTTGGCCTTCAGGGCAGGTTGCTGTGTGTTTCCATGCTGTTGGTGAGCAGCTTATATGAATTGCCTTCTGGAAGTAATGGTGAAGGGTTCAAAAATGGACTTCTTCGGTAGCAAAGGGCTTTAGAGGACTTAATTTAAAATGAAACAAAACCCATTGAATCTTAACATTTAAATCTGTCACTGATGTTTTCGTATCAGCCCGTGCTGTATGTTTTCCCTTGGATCCAAAGGGAATATTTATTCTGGCTTACATAGCAAGCCTCAGGTGATGGCATTATGATTTCTGCATGTACCTGTTACACCACACAGACTTCAATATTTGTCTTTGGAGATTTTGTTTCGTTCCAAAACATGAGACTTCTGTAAACTTATTGGGGCAGTGATGATGGATAGAGATGACAAATGGAGATAAGTAAGAGCTGGGACAGACAGGCTTCTCGTGAGTGAAGTGGCTTCAAAACAGATGACAAAATATATTTATATTGTAGCCTGGAGATTTGGAGAAGCAGAGTGTTTGTCTGGGCATTGTATGGAGCTCATTAAGAACCCCCTTACCCTCATCTTCCTTCAGGAAAAACTTTTCCTGATAACCTCATTTTAAACTTCTTCCTTCTCATAGAAACCATGTGGGATGAAGGATGGGGAAAGGCAGGAAGCTGAGAGCACTGCTCCCTGTGGCTGGCTCCTCGTGGAGCAGGGAGCCTGGAGCCCCAGCCCTGCCTGTGGGACAGGAGGGGTTTCTTGCTTCTGGGCTGATCATGAGCCAATGCCCTGACCTTCCTTTTTCCTACCTTTCCCCACTGCAACTCTTTGTTGGACTGCCTCAGACACCATGTGCTGCAGTTGCTGATTCTCCCTCCCCTGTGTCTGTATCATCTGCTTGGTGCAGCTGCAGAACAACTCTTGTTTTGAACTGAATCATTTTGTTTCCAAGTTCCTCCAGCCACAAACAGAGCAGGAAAAATAAAACTCCATGGGAGAGACTGTTCTAAAAGAATCTGAATCAGCCAAGAGCCTCTCCCTCCTGCTTGGCTCCGAAACTTGGCTCCTCCAGCTCTGCTTGCAACTCATCCCAGTTGTCATCACGTGGAGGGATGCAGAGCTGTGGGAATTGGGATGCAGAGTGGTGAAGAGGAAGTGCCAGTGCTTCTCCTCAAATGGCAGATATATAGCCATATGCTCAGAGAGCTGCAGAGGGCTTTCTTCAGTGCTTTCCATCCCTCTCCTCCCAACTTTTTCCTTAGCTGGGATTCCCTTCTATGAAACTTAGTGCTGTTGTCCCATTTGGTGTAACTGGTGGGAGAGGAGAACACAAAAACCTTCATGCCATCACCCCTACGGATAGCAGCTCCCAGAGGAGCCATCTGCATCTCCCAGAGCTGCAGTCTATGACAGGCTCTCTTGCTGGCTGCAGAATTATGTGCTGCTGAAAACCTGGGCCAGAATCCCCTCTCTGCTCTCTTTTTCTTTCTCCTATTTCCATGTACAAAGAGCTTGCGTGCAATTTCACGTTCATCTTTTGCACATCTGTGATCATGCTGTGTTTCCCTGCTCAACCTTAAGGCACTGATTTTGTGGGAGAAGGGTCTAACATGCAGCCAGAGCTCTGCTGAGGTAACAGGGAGGATGGAGTTCCTGTTGCCTGGCCTCAGGCTGTTTTAACAAAGACTTTGCTGCAACTTGCAACCTGTTTTCAGGATAACTTGAGCTTGTAGGGCTCTGGCTCAGATACCTTTTTCACCAAGCCTGAATGGCAGCCCTGAGATGTGATGTGAATTACTATAGGACCCTGCATCTCCATTAATGACTGTGGTTGCTCTGTCATTCACTTCTAAGTGCAGGGACTGGTGGTAAATATGTGCAGTGGGAGCTTCTGTCCTTAGTAGGACCTTCTCCCAGCCAGTCTGCAGCAGATCTCTCGTTTATCCTTTCCTTGTCAGGAACATCCCAGACAGCTGCTGGGAGTGTGGATCTGGTTTCGTTACCTATTTTGATATTCCTGTGCTGAATTGTTACTAATTCAGTGGTGAAACTCTTACGCTACACTTCAAACTAATTATGCTTGACGGTGCTCACGTATCTTCAAAGGAGCAGGGAATCAAAATAACCATGTGAGCCAGTGCATGACACTCATTTTGTAACCCAGGGTGAGAAGCGAGGTGAAGAAGCCAAGCATTTCTCTAAGTATGCCTTGTGCCACAGTTCAAAGGCAGTGACTGCAGCCTGGGGAAGCACGGGGAGCTGGCTGGGGATTCATTAGCTGGAGGACGCCTGCTGCGTGCAGCCTGCTCCCTGTGATGCTGCTGGGTGGCACAGCATGGTGCTGGATCTCACGCTGCTGCCCATGGCTGTGGTTCATGGATGGGACCCAGAGCTGGGCAGTTCTGAGCCCAGCTGTAACGTCACTGCGGCTCAGGGTGGCTGTTAGCATCCTGTAACCACTGCTAACTGAGCATGTCTGAACTGGGACCAATGAGACCTGTGGGCAGGCTTGTGTTGTGTTAATTCAGAGTGGTGTCCTGTCCTTTGAGACAGCCCTGAATCACTGACACTTCCCACCCCAGCCATGACATCCATTGCACACACTGGGTGGAAAGCCTCAGCCCCAGAACTTCCACTTGATAATAATTATTTCTCCTCTTTCAGCCCAGCTTTGAGAGCAGCTGTCTGTTGTACCATCGCAGCATCAGCTGTGCTGGCAGCAGGGAAAACGCAGTGCTTGCAGAGCCCTTTGGGTGCTGGCAGGTATCTTTGCCCTTCTGCCCACCCTTACACACTCATCAGCCTCTTACTTCCTCCCAGTTTCTTCACCCCTTCTGCCACGAGTGTGTTACAGCAAGAGCGGTTCGTACAAATCAGAAAGCTTCATACAGCATGAAATCATGTATTTATTGAAGAAGGAACAATGAAGCAACGTAAAGCACACCTACTAACGGTAATGCAATTAAGATATAACTCATAGAATATATTTCATAGGCTAGTTCAGTTTAGCATATGTTGAATAAACAATAGGTTAAGGCTCACGTCCTCCTTGATTAAAGTTGAATTCTTATAGAGTAGATTTCTACACTTTTTAAAGATATCCCATAAAAATAATCATTATTTATTCACTTAAAATGCTTATTGATGCTCTTCTATGTTCACTGTATCATCACTGTTCATTTTGTTTGCGATGCAGCATCTCTTAGTTTTTACTTTACATAAAGGGTCTTCAGTTTCAGTGAGTTTTGGATCTGATCCGTAAATCCCACCAATGAAAGCTGAACCACTTAGAAGATCCTCATTAATTCTCTTCACATGACAAAGGGCTGTGAGCTCAGATGTGAGTTAAAATGCCAGCATGAAGGAGGAATGAGTGGTAATAGAGGGGTAATAGAGGGGATCTTCACCTCAAAGCAGAAGAGGAAAATCTTTGTATTTCCATGTGAAACCCAAAAGGGGAAAGGATTAAAGCATGCAGAACACCTGTGGGAGGAGGGGGATGTTCAGTGCTTTACAACCCATTATGTGAATAGCAACACAAAATTGTAAGATACGCATAAGAATCTTGATGTAGGTCTCATTCAGACCCAAGAATCTGAACATACATGAATGCAACCCTGATCAGCAGTTCAGAACATGAGAAACATAAGATAGGACCAAAATCCCACTGAACTTAAACACTGTCACTTTTCAGCAAAACTTGCTTCATGTTGTGCAACATAGCTCTTGGAGCTTAACACTTAAGGATACCCAAGAAGAAGTAAAAGAAACCTTTTGACAAGAAAATTCAAAGAGATCATTAAAGATCAGTTCCCCAAGCGTGCTGAGTACTCAGTGCTGGATCCTGCAATGTGACACGTGAAAAATCTCCCGATTTACTTTAATGGGAGGTACATTTGTGAGTTGATTGCTGGATCAATCATTTTGTAGCTAGGTAAATGTAGATTGCTCCATATGTAGCAAACAGGGAAGTTTCATAGAAACCAGCTAATTCACAATCAGAAGTTAAAATTAAATGATATTACATCTGGGAAGAGAATTGTCGTTACATTAATTACCTAATTTCTAGGAATCCCATTGAATACTTCCATATCTGGCAGTTGAAAATTTTTTAGGCAAAGCTGCTCGGTCTAACAACTTATTGTTGTGAAGTATTCTTACAGACCTACATTTTATAAAGCTGTATTCCTCTGTTAGATCATACAAATAAACCGATTCAAAACGTTTTACATCCCAGACTTCACCTAAAGTCCATTACCGGTAGCAAATTCTGATTGCATAGATAATCAGCTCGACTTTTGTTGAAAAAATCTGCTCAGTAACAGCATAGCTGTGTGTTGTGCTTTGGTTTTTAGTCTTTCTTTTTTTGGGGGGGGGGATTTTGATGTTATCTTTTTCCAGTGCCATTGAATTCAGACTGCAGAGACTGACCTTACATTGGTACCATCAGGACTAGGCCCTTAAGGGCTAAAATATAAGGTTTTCCTCTTAACCAATGGTAGCTGCATAAAAAAATTCAGACATTGGGAAAGCAGAACATCTACAGTTCCAATGGACCTCCAAAAAGCAGTGCTAGTGCTCAGCTTCAGGAGAAAATTAAGACCAATTCATTCACTGGAGCATCTAACACTGCGTGTCTAAGGATTTGCCCTGAACAGTTTACTTTTATGCTGGGTACCGAGGAGATATTTTCAACAGTCAATTCAAGCTGTAATACTTTTGAAGACTTTTACTGTCTGTTCTTGGCCTATTCTTCAGCAACAGCTGCAGCACACGGACCACGAGATGCAGATAACGAGCCTTATCAGCATTTCCCTGGAAGGTAATAAATGAACACATATTTGGTTCAGTTTACATGTGACGTCTTCTTTCTCATGCCAAATACACACTGCCCTATTTTCAAGCTCAAGAGATTCCGTGCAGAACTCTGGACTTAATCCAAAGTCTGTTGTAAATCACTGGGCATCTTTTCCATCAGTTCCCGTGAAGCTCATGAATTATGGCTATATAGCAGTGCAGGGGATGAACCAGAGCTTGACACTACATTACAGCCCTTATATTACTGAGATTCTGACTAGGACAAAACATTCTCTCACAGAAAATACCTTTAAGAATGATGTCAACAAAGTCCAAAGGTGAAACGGACAGAAGTTCAGAGAAGTGATCTGGTGGTGAGGGACACTGCACTCCTGGAGCTTCCAGCAAACCATTACTCTGTATGGATGAGGAAAGCAGAACAGTAAATTTCCAGCAGAAGTCTCTGTGTTAAGACCATGCTCTGGTTTTGACATTCCAAACCTAGATTCTGCTCCTTGCCATAAAAAAGGAAGGGGTGGCAGAGTTTATCAGAGGTCTTTTCCAACCTCGGCGATTCTATGATTCCCTAAAGGACCTGAAATGTGGCTTTAAGTCTGTTTTCCTAGTTCAAATCTTACATTACCAGTTTCTATATATGTGCATAAGTGAGAGCTCATCTCTGATAGTCAAAAGACACTGAAAAAGGTGGAAGGGCTGTTGTTACTTTCAAGCACCAAATATTTGTTTAATCTTGGACAGGAATACTGAAATCTGTGCTGGGTACTGCATTATTTCAGCTGAACAGGGTTTTGAAATGGAGCCCACAAGCTTTCACTTCTCAGTGCTGATGCCTTGTGTCCTGTACCAAACACAGCAAGAACCATGGATGCCCACAGGATCATCTGGATATTTTGGGACCTGCCATGTGCAGAATGGGTGTACTTAGGGTTGGAGAAAAGCATACAGTTCGGCTCTTTGTCTTTTAAGGAACTGCTGAAGGTAAGGAGACATTGGCAATGTTTGGGGCAACGTTTGCAGTATGAGATCCTTTGGAGCCTTTCCCCTGAAGAGGAGATTCTCTGCCCTGTGCCACCTGTGGCAGGGCTGGGAGCATCTCCTATGCTCACTGTAGGGTTTGTGTTAATCTGGGTTCTTAGGTATGAGGTCAGAGCCTGTGTAACAGGTGCTGTGTGGTTACCTCTTGAAGAATGTCCTGTTCCTTGGGTTTATGAGTCTGGAGCAAACACATCAGCTCGGTGTTCTCCTCAATTTTTAAATAGGGAGCAGAAGTTTGACACGAATGTAGTACCTGCAAATTGCAGTGAGACCTGTGATTGCAATCAAACAGGAAAACATAAGGTCGCAGTAAACAGCCTGCTGCTGATTCTCACCTGCAGCTCTGGCTTTCCTCCCATGTGCAATAAGCAGTTAATTCCCTCGAGAATTTGGTCCTTGCGTAGTTTGAGGAACCTCCCCATGTCACTGCCGCTGTCGGTTTTTTGAGATTCCATGGCTAAGATGGTGTGAGCAAGAGCAGCACAGTGCAGTGGTGTTAAACCTGAACAGAAACCACGGAGCAGTCAGACACATCCACCTGCACTGCAGGAACCACCCCACACCGAGCTGACAGCCCTAAGGGCAGGCAGTTCGAATGCCAAATTGATCATCCTTTGGCCCGGGTAAAATCTGTTGTTTGAAGCTTCTGACACAAAGCATCCAAATGGTGAAGCGTTTCCTCTTACCGCAATGGTCCGTCAGGTTCACTGCTACACACACACCGTTGTCTTTGCAGTTTTTCAAAACCTGAAATCAAGAAGACTTTGAGACGATAAATCCTGATTTGGGCCCAGATGCCCTTATTCTATCTCACATTACCAACATCAGACCAAAGGTAACTTCCAGGTTTCATAAAACCCTCGTCTATTTTAAACAAAAGAGTGCGCATCTGACTTTTGCTCCATCTTTTGCACATCCCACTGCACAGCAGCAGCGATCAACGCACCTCTAAAACCCGCAGGTACCCATTCTCTGCACACAGGTGGAGTGGGGTTTTCCCCCGCCCATCCTGCTCGTTGACGTTTGCCCCCAGGGATATAAGGTCACTGACCATCAGGTGCTGGTTCTTTTCTGCAGCAAGATGTAGTGCTGTCTGGGGAGAGAAGAACGAGAGAAACTCATTGTTGCTTTAAAGCCGATCTTGCATTTCACAGTGCTTGTTAGAGAATGAGATGGGGAGTGGGGGTGTTGGGTTCCCTGCCCATCTATGCTATGACTTGCTCTGCTCAGAGCACTGCCTCCCTCCTTCTATTTTCCTCTTTACTCGAGGATAGCAGCCACTCCTTCCCAAAATGATGCTTGGTGTTTATCAGGGTTTGAAAGGCGTCTGCATGCCATAGGAAATGACTCTTGGCAAGTCAGCATCCTACCCGTTTCTCTGCATCCTTCTCGTCAATTTTATTTAGGGATGCAAATCTCCGTGCTAGCGCGTAAGTCAGAGCTCTTCTTCCCTGAGCAACAGCCTTGTGCAGCAGCCTGGAACAGAAGATGTTTTAAACAAGTAGAAGATAAAATAATGGTTAAATTACTCAAAAGTAACAGAGATTTCAAAGCGTGAAATATTAGGGGGTCACAAACACCGAAAGATTGAGATATTTAAGCATTTAATTTATTTCGTCTCTGTATTAATTTATAATTAATAAAAAATGCTGATTTTCCAGCTTTGTTTGAATTTATTGTCTGCCAGGATTTCTCGGTCCTCCCTTCTCACTATTACCCCATTCCTCTCCTATCCAGGAGCTGCTGCACCCTTCCTTCAAGCCACCAACCAAACCTGATTTCCTCCTTTTTTTTTTTTTTTTTTCCTTTAGTACACAGAAAAAGCAGAAAAAAACCCAAAGAAGGGAAACCTCTTTCCTGCACTTATTTCCAAACCGTAATTCAGTTCTATGTAGGACTGAGTAGCAGAGTATTGGCTCCAGTCTCAGTGAGCTGCTCAAAATAGTGAGTTTCTCCTGAATCTCATACTGGAATTCTTGTTAATTTGGGTGAGCCTTTCTTTCTGCCTGGAGCAAATACTGACACAGGCATTGGTGGTATTTTTCCCTTTAGTTTTTCTTTCTCTTATCCCAGAGCATGATAACTGTGCCTCAGGGTTGGTGTATTTGGTGTGTGGTCTTGCCTTTGTATGTTCTTCTGACCTTGTCATCTGGTGCTTATGTACTTTGTAATGTGTGTTTGCTGCAATTGTTAGCTCGTGACATTTACTCAAATACAGTCAAATTGTCTTAATTTCTTAATTATAATTAGTTTTATTCACATGTGAGAATTTGATCCCAATGTTTTCAAACTAGCTGAACTGCACAGAACCCAAAAGTAATTTTCCTTAGAGTGCAGCATGGAAAAGATCTCTTTTGCAAATCTTTTTGTGTAGCAATGACTCGCTTTGCTTGACTTCATTTTCTTGTGAGCTTACATTTACAATTCAGTCTTGAATATTGTTCCCACTGAATTAGTCCTATGGCAACTGTAGTCTAGCAATACCACCACAGACATGAAGTATTTCTAATTTTACTAATGGAATGTTGATTCAGTCTAAAACTGGGGGTTCTGGAGCACATCTGAACACGCCATGGAGATAGAAGACCTTTGCAACAGGCATGCCCTGAACTAGCAGTTGATGTTACAGCCCCAGGAAATAGAAATCAATGTATTTCTATAGGAAAAAAAGCTGGAGACCTGTTGCCATTTTCATCAGGCGCAAGCAGTTTGTCTGCTGGAATATTCCTCAGCAAGCTTTCCTCCCTGTGTAGCTGGAACTGGAAGAAAGAGAGGGCGGAGAGATCCTGCTGCGTGAAAGCAATCGAGGTCTGCCTCGAGCATCCCCTGGAACCCAAAGAGTCGCTGTCAGCCTCCACAAATGGCTCTGGATGGGCTCCTGGTGGATCGAAGCAGGGAGATGTGCTCTGTGCAGGGTGTGCCCAGCAGTCCTTCTGGGTGCTGCTACCCACGCCCTGCATCCACCAGCTGCTCTCTTTCTCCCTTGTCCTTGAGAACGTTGCTGGTGAATCAGGCTCATGCATGTCTTTCTGACCATCACAAAAGGAGCTCTCTACCTCTTCCTGCAATGCCAAGCTGCAGTCTGTAAAGCAACAATGAGAACGCAGCTTGGTGAAGCTTTGGCACCTTTCCTGCACGCTGCCAGCTGCCTGCTTGCTTCCTCCAGCTCCCCACCAAGGGGCCTGCAGCTCTGCAGGGAAGCCCTGCCAAAAGCCATCGGGCTCAGCACGCAGAGATTCCTTCTTCAGCTGGCTTTTGTTCAGGTCTTCCTGCAGCACCTCCACCAGGATATCCAGGTCCTCCAAGCCTTTTAGCGTTTGCCCGATGCTCTGCTTGCTCTGAAACAGCAACAAAAGTGGGGAGGGTGGAAGATGGGGGAGGGAAATCAGACATGAAGTGTCCTGTTCTCGCTGGGTGATATATGTGAAATGCGCCTGGGGAGGCTGGCAGCGCGGTGCTGAAGGTGTTATGCATACCTGTCTAAGCTGCTTGTCTGTATAAGGGTGAACTCTTCTCTTTTCTGTTGGAAAGAAAGGAAGAAAAAAGCCATCTTGAGTTTGGGGCAGGGGGAGGCCAACACAGAAGTATTCTGTCCCAGATAAACACATCCAGGTGAAGGTGAATGGCTGCCCTGCTCCTGCCATTGGAGGGGCCCTAGGGATGGCGTGGGGCTCTTTGGTACTCAACACTGATGTCCCTATGCGAAAAGGAGGTGGTGTCACTGAGAGGAGTTTCCTGACCTGTTTTTCCTGAGGATCCTTTGCTTGCCGTCTTCACTAACGAGGCTTCCTGAGGAGACAAAAATAATAATAAAAACAAAGCTACATTTAAGATGCTTGCATGTTAGAAAGTGAAACAATGGCAAACTGTGTGACCTAAGCTAAGAGAATTGTATTTTGCACTGTGTACTTTGTACAGCAGAGACTGCACATGAATGAATTTCCACGAGCAGGCAATTTGCAGCAGCCACACAAGGACAGCAGCACAGCCTTTTTGGAAACCTGGGTTGTTAGAGCCAAAGGGCTGTTGTTTCTTTAGGCCATCTTTGGATGGATTGCAGGGCGTTATTCAGATCACGGATGGCTTCTTGCTGTCCCAGCTCTGAGGGCCGCCCTCCCACAGCCCTTACCTGGCTGGCAGCTGGCTGCAGCCCCCTGGAAAGCCGGACCTTCCTCAGCAGCTCCCGCACCGGCATCTTCACCCTCACACCCATGTAACGCCTCCGAGGAGGGGGATCCGAGCTCAGTGCCGAGTCTGGAAAAGTCACCACATGATGCTTAAAGGAACAGAATTCTCTGAGCTGTTAGAGGGCAGTGGGAGGATGAGGTCACCCTGCGAGCTGTGATTCTGGTGTTCATCATCACTTGTGGGAAATTTCCACACCACCCCACGTCTTCCTTAGCTCTGGCCTTTTATTAAGACGCTTCCTGCTCCCCAATTACTGTAACACATCGCTTCTTGGGCTGCTCGGTGTGCTGCAGTAAATATTTTGGTGCAGTTTCCTGTCCTGCAGTTTATTTTATTGACATTGGTTAAAAAATAGAAGGAATAGAATTGTTTTAGAATTGCGATAGTGATGCCATTTACAAATCACAGAATCACAGAATTGCCAGGGTTGGAAGGGACCTCAAGGATCATGAATCTCCAACCCCCCTGCCACATGCAGGGCCACCAACCATTCCACCTAATGCTAGACCAGACTGCCCAGGGCCCCATCCAATCTGGCTTTGAACACCTCCAGGGACGGAGCATCCACAACCTCCCTGGGCAGCTGTTCCAGTACCTCACCACTCTCTCCATAAAGAATTTCCCCCTAACGTCCAACAAAGTCTCTCTGCAGTGGCTCTTGGTGTATAGGGAGACATGATTTAGCAGAGGGTTGTTAGAGTTAGGATAGTATGGTTAGGTCGTGGTTGGACTCAATGATCTTTAAGGTCTTTTCCAACCTGACTGATTCTATGATTCTGTGAGAGGTCAGTGCAGTGTGATGCAAAGGGATGCAAGGGTTTTCTGTATTGAAACAAAACAGTTATTTGAGAACATATATAATTGTCCAAACAAGTTTGCCATCGTCAAAACAAGCTGCTCTGTAATTGTTTGCTAGTTCTTCTTGCATTTTAGACTTGAATCCCCAAACTTGAAAGACTTGCCCAAATTAGGAGCTTAAATGCACTGCTTTTGAAACACCACATCCCTGACCCCCCTCCCCTTGAAGATGATCAACCTTCCCATAACACACAGTCAGTAACAGCTATCATCATTATGAAATGACTGGTTGCATTGGCTCAGCAGCATCCCACCAGTTAACACATGACATGAGCAGACTGAAGTGCACATGCTGCGGTCAGCACGAGGCTGCAGCACAGCCCAGCAGGCAGGCATGGTGCAGCTCCCCAAAGCAGCAGTGCTGACAGGAGTGCAGCTGCACAAGAGGTGGTTTCTAGCTGTGTGATGCTGTTCCTGAGCCCTGTTCCAGGCAATGAAAGCTGACACCCCTTTGTCCCCAGTGCACTGAGGATGTACTGAACGCTTGGTGCTGAGAGCTGTGCTGTTTGTGCCTGCCCAGGCTGTCACTGAGTGCTGGGACTTCTAAAGTGTAGGTTATTGCTCAGACTGCTCTAAAAATGGGACTGATTCCTATGTTAGGCTGATGTTTTGAAGTAGAATGATTTAGTCTTTGTAGGGTGTTTCCTTCTTGTACTTGAAGGGAGCTTCCAAGGAGGAAAAGGACCAACTTTTTACAGTCTGATAGTGACTGTAGGACAAGGGGGAATGGCTTTAAGCTAAAAGAGGGGAGATGTGGGTTAGCTGTGAGGAAGCAATCCTTAGTCAGAGGGCGGCGAGGTGCTGGCACTGCTGCCCAGAGCTGTGGGTGCCCCATCCCTGCAGGCACTCAAGGCCAGGTGGGATGGGGCCCTGGGCAGCCTGAGCTGGTGGGGGGCAGCCCTGCCCATGGCTGGGGGTGGCTCTGGGTGGGCTTTGAGCTCCTCTCCAACCTGAGTTCTATGGTTCTATGATTCTGTTTCAAAGGACTCTGTGAAAAGCAATATGAAAAAGCACAATTGCAGGCGTATTATTATCTTTCAAGCTGTTCCTCAGTAAAAATGCTAGATAGTGGGTTACATTACATGCATGGTTGTATCCTTGAAAGTGAAGAGCTCAGCAACAATTGACCAAGCACACTTTCACATGATTTGGTAAGATTAACAACTCAAAGGTCGTATCTATATTACATTGCCATTAAATTCAGAACCAAACTTGCAATTCAGATTGTGAACGAGCAGCAAAACATTGGAGATAGGCAGAATTAATGGAGTAGTGAGCTGCCCTTCAGAAAACAGAACAATTTCTGACTTCAGCATGGCAGAGCACAGCCAAATATCAACAAGGCGTGAGTAGCAGCACGCCATGAGCCTTTGTTTGACGTTGCTGCCACAGAAGCTGAACGCTGCTGGCACAAACGGAGTCACAAGTCGGTGTGTGAACCTCTTCACTTCGCAAAAGCAGCATAAAACAGAAAATGCCAATAAAGGTTTGATCTTACCAGTGGGAGCAGACATCACTGGAGGTTTATGTGGAGCAGCTGGGTAGATCTCAGGGCTTGCAACATTAAGTTCAGTTAATCCAGAGTCTGGCAGCGATGGGCTTTGTTGAAAATGCCTTTTGGGACTGGCAGTTTCCCCAGGCTGCGGAGATCCCTGGCCTAGACTGTAGCCACAGCTTTCATTTTCAGTGATGTTTTGGTTGACCAGTAGTTCAGGGCTCGTGCAGACTGTTTGCAGCATTACCTCTGCGTGCGTAGAAGAGAGATGAGAAAGGAAGGGTGGGAATAAAACCTCGCTGAGCTGCAAAAGAAAGAAGTATCCAGTTTCACATCCAGAAGGTGACAGTTGTATTTAATTCTCCATCGTGGTTAGGCCCAACTCCCTCTTCTGTTCCTCAAAGCGAATTGTAGTGGCTGCAGAATAAAGGCAAACTGCCTGGGAGAGTTTCTTGGCTGCAGCACTGCCTCGCTCTTTATAGTCAGGCACGGCCCAAAGGACGTCAGCATGAAGGTCCCACCCTCTTTCCCAACGATCTGCAGCAGCAGCTGATGAAGAAATGGCTTTTCCCAAGAAAAGTCTGAGCACGAGTAGAAAAGAGCTTTTCTTTAGATAGAAACCATGAAAATCTATTTGATTTAATGCAAACAGCATGGGGAGGGAAAGAGACCTCTGAATGGACTAATAGATTGGGCTGTGCAAATGAGCACTGGATCCAGTGTTTTGTCAATTGCTTTGTCGGAAACAAAAAACAAAGCAGTTTTTCCAAATCTGTAAAAGAGGAACTTACAAAAGCCAAAATAATCTTCCCTTAAGCACAAGAATCCAGCTAAGGAAACACCCCCCCCACCCTCTGCATAGCTTTGAGTCTGTGAAGAGAGAGAAGTGCTGCATCACAGAATCACAGCATATGCCCCATTAAGGATTTTGGTGTTTCTGTCTGTGAGGATTTGCCTGTTTCATTTTTGGCAAGGAGGGATGCTTAAGTATGTGATGGGCACAACTATTGGAATTCACATTAAGAATCTATTTGGACGGATCCTCTTCTTGCAGGAAGTCCATTTCCTGAGGTCACAAGGAGACCTCAGTGCAAGGTTTAAACTCTGCTCTTGTGTCCCTGGGAAATCCCTTGCAGTTCACACACCTGCTTGAGGGCAGTGACGCTTCAATTGAAACAGGTACTTCCCTCAAGTAGTTTGTCTGGAAGGCTGCAGACCTTGTCCGAGGCAGCAGCTCCCTTAGCTGTGTCCTGGAGAGCACTCCAGCTTTACTCCTAAGCAGAATCACCCTGTATGTGCCTGATCAGGAAGCAGACAGACTTTCTGCACCAAGTTCTGAGAACTGCATTACAAACAGCTTTCGCTTAAATTGGGTACTGGCTACTCTCTACAGACTTGCACAACTCTCGTGTCCCATTTCCTCTGTGCTGTTGAAACTCCAGACTTAGGAATATTGGCAGAATTATTCGGGCAGTGCTCAAAACTAGATGTGGTGTTTGTAAAATGAGCATGGAGTCAGGTACCAAGATGGTGGCATTACTGCATCATAGAACATGAGTGCACTGGGGGGAGGCATGGCTAACAGACCCATTTCTTTGCTTGGCTGCCCATGGTCTCAGCTAATAGAGCTGTGAAATCCTTGGGGCTCTGTAGGTGTTGTTTGGAGCTTAAGGACATATAATAGGCCATTGCTCCAGTCCCTTAGTGACTGTAACCAGTTTGCCCCAGGGAAGTGATCGGTAAAAGGATATTTCAGGGGTTATAAGATTATTTACCTCTCTAACAATGAGACAGCCACAAAAAGTAACAGTTATTCTTGACTAAGGGCATATTCTCCTCTGCCTCAATAAGTATTTCCCTTCTGTCTCACCCAGTCTGCCCTGTAGGTTGTGTGAGCCTAGGACAAGCTGGAGCTAGGATCTGCTCCTGCCTTCCTTACTGACAAGAAGCGGTATTTTCTTCTGTGAACATCAGTGTTCTCATCAGAGGGATGAAGCATCACTAGAGAACTGATCAACACTTGTATAGGTGGGAAAATTTGGCTGACTGCAAACAGGAAATTGCTGCAATGAATCATTGCATTTATTGGGTTGTAAATAGTACTGCAGATTTCTCATCTTCCTATTCTCTTCCATACTCCGATCCGTATATTGGACAGTTTTCATGCTTGTTTATAACATGCTATTACATCCACGGTGAAGACAGGAATTAGCCTGGTTTTGTGACACAAAAGGACCAAAACAAATTCCTGTAGCCAGGAAAAGAGAAGCAGTTTTGCATAACCAGCAACAGAAACCTTGGAATGTGGTCCCTGCAAGAAACTGTCTCCAAGGCTTTGTATTTAACTGGGAATCTTGTGGTTCTTCTGCTTCCAAATTCAACAGGTACCTGATATTTTATGCAAACATTTCAGCAAACTCATACACCTCTTATGAGTCTTATCCTACAAATGTTACTAACATCAGCCCAAATTGGAGACCAGCTGTCCACTCACAGCTGCACTGCTGTCCTGCCTCACTCATGATTTTGAATTTGGACTCACTGAGAATGCCACTGGTCACGTTCTCCTGCAAACTCCATGGCAAGGCAAGTTTCAGCATGCACAGCAAGCAGAGAAATTGTAAATAAGGCTTTCTAGGATCTGTAAGTACTTCTTCAGTTGGTACCTCTGTGATTCTCACAGCTGCAGGCAGAACTGTTCAGCTTACAGCCCAGTAAAACCTGGGTTGGAAAAAATATTTTCTAGCTGGGGCATATTTGGTTTTCATCATCTTCCATAGCTGGAGTGATGTAACCTATGCTGTACCATTGAGTTAAGAAAGGGGGAAATGTCTAGCAGTGAGGAAAGACGGAGGAGAAGGTAAGTATAAGCATTTGGGTAAGTCTTCAGTAGCCACGTGGAGAAGGAGATGAGGTCAAAACACAGCTTTGGTCGGCCATACTTAGAGCAGCTCTTTAGGAAGGACTGGTTTGCATTTCTTGTCTTGCTTCCCCTCCTCATCAGGAAAAATAGCAAGCTGGATCTTTGCCATGGGGATTTTTTCCCTTTCTAA